AATGCGAGATTACAGAGGGATTTCTAGCAATTATTTATTTCAATTTTTTTTAATTAAAAGGTATAAACGAGTGTCACAAATATAAAGTAAACATTTTTTTCTTAGAATTATTGGAGTATATAAAGAAAATTAAAAGAAAATTCCATAAGTTAAAAAATGATAAACTAATTTGTTCCCCTTAACTCCCAAAAAGTGGTCTTTAGGTTAAGTTAGTATAGTGTTTGACCACACAGTTGTTGATTAATGTCTTATATCTGTAACGCAAATTCATGATCAGATGGTCAATGTATTCTGTTCCACTCCATTGAAAGGTCCTCAAATAGTTGTTGTTTTGTATTGAACGTACTATTCTGTTGTAAAATGCGTTTTCTCAATATGTCGCATACATGTTCAATTGGGTTTAAATCTGAAGATTGCGTAGGCCATGGCTACACCTTAGTTTCATTATCTTTGCACGACTCTGGCAGTATGCGGATGCGAATTGTGTTTTAATTAAAAATGGGGACCAGATTAATGTACAAATGATACAACAATAGGTTCGAGAATAAAATCGCGGTAGTCTGCCGCATTTGAAAACCGTTCTAGACAAACAAGATTGGTTCTTCCACCAAGATTAAAGCTCATACCATACCATTAGACTGCCCAGTAAACCAGATACCATTATTCTTCTTCTTTAAGTTCCATCTTCTATCGAAGGTTGGAAATCATCATGGCTATGCGGACTCTGTTGACTGCCGCTCTAAAAAGTTCTGCACTACTGCATTCAAACCATTCCCTTAAGTTCTTAAGCCAGGATATTCTTCTTCTTTCCACATTTCGCTTTCCTCGGATTTTGCCTTGCATAATAAGTTGTAATAATGCGTATTTTTCCCTCTCATCACATGTCCCAAGTACTCAAGTTTTTATCTTTTAATAGTTAATATTATTTCCTATCATTCTAGTTACTTCCATGTTTGACATTGTTTGAATCAATGATATTCGTAGGATTCTTCTGTAACACCAAAATTCAAAGGCGGCCAACTTATTCAGATGAACTTTTTTAGTGTCCAAGCTTCCAAATAATAAAGAATAGTAGAGAACACGTAACATCGAAGCATTCTCAGGCGTAGTTCTAACCTTATATCCCGACAACAAAGAAACTTTTTAAGTTTAATAATTGATGTACGTGCTATTTCAATACGTGTCTTAATTTCTTTGGTTTGGTCTACATCTGATGTTATCCGTGTTCCTAAGTATTTATAGTTATTAACACTCTCAATTGCAGTATCTTCAATAGTCAATTGGTTATTTGCATGTGCAGATTTAGTCATGATCATGCATTTAGTTTTCTTTGAATTTATCTTCAGTCCGTACTCATGACAGCGTTCATTAAGGCGTTGCATTACGTTCTGTAAATCATTGTTGTTATCCGTAATTATTACTGTATCGTCTGCAAAACGTAGGTTATTCAAAACTTCTCCATTGATATATATACCTTCTATTGAGTCTGAGAGCGCTTCTTGAAATACCGCTTCACTGTAGACATTGAAAAGTAGTGGGGACAGCACGCAACCCTGGCGGACTCCTCTCTGTATTTTGATATTTTCGGTGTACTGGCTGTCAACTCTTACCTTGGCAGTTTGATTCCAATATAAATTAGATATAATTTTCAGATCGCGACTGTCAATATTTTTGCTTTTTAATATATCTACAAGCTTTTTATGTTGAACTTTATCAAATGCCTTTTCAAAGTCTACAAAACATAAGTACATATCCTGATTCATGTCCATGCATCTCTGAACCAGCACATTCAAGCCAAACAAAGCATCTCTTGTACTCATACCATTTCTAAAGCCAAATTGTGTGTCACTAATCTCATATTCAAGAGTTTTAACAATTCTGCTGTGAATTATTTTCAAAAATGTTTTAAGTGTGTGACTCATTAAAGCTATTGTTCTGTGGTCTGAGCAAGTTGTTGAACTTGGTTTTTTGGGAATTGCTACAAAGATTGATTGCAGCCATTGTCTGGGGATTGTGGCAGTCTGATATATTAGATTAAAGAGTTCAACCATTACATCAATAACATCTTCATCGATGAGTTTTAATAATTCGATGGGTACCTCATCTGGTCCAGTAGCTTTACCCTCTTTTGTGTTTTTGATGGCATAGATGACTTCTTCTCTTAATATTGGTGGTCCCGGTATCCTCGGTGATTTCTAATGACAGTTCTTCTCTTTCATCATTAAATAGTTGTTGAATGTAATTGGTCCAGTGACATATTCTCTCCTTCATATTATTAATAATATCATATTTATTATTTTTAAGGATATTCGTTTTTGTACGCTTTCTAGAACCTGTCATTTCTTTGATTTTTTTGTGTAAATTAAAGCTATCGTACTTTTTATCCAGATCTTCTATTTCCTTGCATCTGTCGGAGAGCCACCTCTCTTTTGCCTCTCGAATTTTCTTTCTGATGTTTCTCTAAATGTCTTTGTATTTATTCAGGTCTTTTGCTTTATGTTTTCTTCGTTCTTCTATGAGTTCAAGAATTTTACTGTCATCCAAGGTTTTGTTTTTTCTTTAAGTGGTTTGAGGGTTTCATTTCCAACTGACACAAGGGCATGTTGAATTTTTCCCCATTTTTGGTCAATAGATAGAGTTTCTGCATTATCTTCTTTGACTTTCCTTAAGCTCTCGTTTATTTTAAATTTGGTTTCCACATATGTGTTGTCTTGTTTGAGACGTCTTGTATCTATGATTTTCTAGGTGCTAGGGCTGTTGACCTTCTTCAGTTTCACTCTCATCGACAAAACAACCGGGTTGTGGTCGGAGGATATGTCCGCTCCTGGATAAGTTTAAGATGACATTATAGAATTTCTGTATTTTCTGTTGACGATAATATAATCTATTTGATTTCTGTTATTTTGTTGTTATTTTCAGCTGGTGATCTCCATGTATATAGTCTACGTTTAGGAAGTTTGAACAAGGTATTTGTAATTATGAGTTCCTCATTGACACAGAAATCGAGAAGCCTATCGCCATGTTCATTCCTTTCCCCGAGTCCATATTGCCCCATGCAATTCTCCACTTCTCCTTGGCCAACTTTAGCGTTCAAATCGCCCATTATAATATTTATATCTTGTCTTTTAGTTAGTCTTAAGACATTGTCGATTTGTTCATAGAAGGCCTCTATGGTGTCTTCATCCTTGTCTTCAGTGGGTGCATATACTTGGATTATATTTATTTTACGTTTTAAATGAGAGTTTAGAGACAGCATTAATATTCGATCAGAGTAGGGAACAAAGTTACAGACAGCTTTCTGTGAATTCTTATCAACTATAATGCCAACTCCCCGTTTGTGCTTGGAATCGTTGTTTCCAGAATAATACATCATTCCATTTCTGGTCTTACATTTTCCTGATTCAGGCCATTGTATATCGCTAAGGCCTAGTATATTAATTTTCATTCTGCACATTTCCGACACAGCATCATCCAGTTTGCCTGATTGGTATAAACTTCTTACGTTCCATGTTCCGATTTTCAAGGCTATAGAGAGGCCCTGTCGTCTAAATCTAATTTTCCTCCCCTGTCGGATCTTGGATTCCGAGCTCCATGATCATTAAGTAAATTATCCATTAGTGGGTCCATGATGATTTTTACTAAGGATATCCTTACGGATCTTTATTGTGGTAGTCATCCCCTGGCTTTCCACATCTCAATGCCGTTGACTAATTTAGTTCTTCTGCCTTCGGAGTTAATTTCTATGCTCCAGGGTAATGAAGTGCCCTACCACGTGTCGTTCCATCCTTAGCTGTTGACCAACAGGTGGGGGATTACTTATACCGGTAATCGTTCAGTTAGTTTATCAGCTCTAGTATCTAATAATATACCGATCCAGAATTATTTCCCTTAAGCTCTATCTTGGTACTGATGCTACTGTCTGACAGAGTAGGATATATGAATGGAAACTTTTGTAATTAGATGGGAGAATTGGTTCAGGACATAATTTCTCCCAGGTACCAGGAGATTGGGAGATAATTATGGCTCATGTGGGCAGGTCGCATCCCTGAAGTAGATCTATCTTCTACCGGGAACGTAAAGGAGTATCTACCCGCTACCCGATGATACCATTATACTGCCGCCTTATTGTCTATGAACCTTTTGTACGGTGGCCAATCGTTCAGCATTACCAGCTAGTCTCCATATTTTTGTCCACCTTGTATCCGGTGCAAATCCAAATCGGGACTCAGCTGTAAACAACGTAGAGGCTAACTCATGTCTAACTTAATTTGCGCGTTTTTGTGCTTACTGAAGTCAATGAGCCCTATTTCCTCTGGATATCACACGTTACGCTCACACGTCTTTGAGCATTTAACTCTACTTCATGCAGTCTATTACTAATGATTTGGCATTTGTAATTTGTAATTGTAATGCAGTTACAGTGAGATCTCTCAAAGCGATCTAATAAAACGGTCTTAAATCTGGTTGGTTATCCTTGTACGGGTTGTATGATGTTCAGCAACATCACGTTTCTTGATGCCTTAACCACAAGCGATTAATGATACTTTTGTTTATGTGGAGGACCTCATCAACTTCTGTTTGACTTCTGCCAGGTTGAAGTATCCGAAAAGCACACCACTGCGTTTTACGATTTAAATAATGTCTGTCCATTATTGCTAATTGCAAAACTAAATAAAAATTCCCATAGACATCGAAAATCAAGTACCTATAAATAAATACTTACTTTTTATCTCATAGACAAAATCCCATATTTAATGAAGTTTTATTAAATTTTTTTATAACCACACTTATCAGCATTAGCATCCAAGTTTCAAGTAAAACGTAACTTTTTAAACTACCTGTATGTTATAAAAAATCAACTTCTCTAATCTAAGTGATAAGTAAAGTAAATTTTACATATTTTTAAATACTAAAATGTTTACTGCAATAAAAGAAAGAAATAAAATTTATTAGGTTTAAGATTAGGGCTCTCATAATGTTCTGCGTACTGTTAAAATCTCAGTTTCATTTAAACTCAAGGTGAAACAATTTGTCGACAAATTGAAGTAAGTTTTATGTTAATAGTATTTATGTTAGCTTTTAAACTCTTTTTGTGTTTATGTTAGCCTATCTGATATAAATATATTTTAGCGGGTAATATTTTTGGTTTTCAGTTTTGAAAAATCGGTTAATAAAAAGGTATAACCAAGAAACCAATCACTAGTAACATTTCCTGTATTATATACAGGCTCTTTTACGATCAGCTTATTTCTTCTTCTTCCAGTGCCGTCTCCACTAATGAAGGTTGGCCATAACCATTGCAAATTGGTCTCTATCTTCTGCTTTTCTTAACCTTTCAGTGCTAACGTGAATTATTTTGACATAAGTGCTAACGTCCGTCTCTGGGACCGTATGTTTATACATGCCCTAGTACTGTAAATTTTACAAATTTTTAAAATTTAATTATTTCAAGGGTATTATTGAATACTTTTTTATTTAAAAAAATGCAGTTTTATTTAAAAATTATATTTATAAACATTTATTTTGACAAAAATAATTCCTTAACAAAAACAAGCAACTATTCTAAAAAGTAAGAAAAAAACTCTAAAATCGTAATATAAAACAAGTTATTTTTAAACTAAAAGTGAAATTATCCACTTAGTCCAGGCTGTGAGGCCGCTCCCGTTGGGAAAATGTTTCTGATTCGGTTTCTTCGCGGATTCCGGTTCAAAAAGTCCCCTTTAAACAAATCTGAAGGGTGACGTGCGAAATTTTTGGGCAGAAATTGTTTAAACAATTTTTTTAAACAAAGTCCAAAAATAATTTTTTTTAATCTGGAAAACGTTTTTTTAGGTTTTTTGGGCCATTTTAAACAAAAAAAGTCTCTTGTCATTTTTCTCTAAAGTTGATAGTTTTCGAGTTATAAGCGATAAGTCTGAAAAACGCGAAAATACGCATTTTTGAGGCCTGAAAACACATATGTATATTATTATTTTTGAGGTTACCAAGTGTCTAAATTAAAGTTTAAACATTCAACTTCAATATTGTGAAGAGTAATCGTGGCTTATTTTAATTAAGACCGTTGTTTTTTAATTGTTAAGTATGCGCGTACACTCGATTTTTCAGCCGCCGCGGCGCCGCGCGCTACCTGCGCCTCTATCGTACTTATGCATAGTTTACATATACTTACAAATAATTATTATTTATTGAGTATATATTTATTTATATCAATTGAGTTATAATATAAATTTCGTCTAAAGTCTAATAATAGTTACATAAAATAATTGTACAAAAGATTGTTAAATAACACACAAATATCACTCAGTAAAAGTATCTTTGTTTTCACAAAAATCTAAATCACATCCACATAATGGTACACAGTTGACATGATTTTTCTTGCAGTTGCAAGCATTAGTTTTGCAAGTCTTTTTGCATTTGCACGGTTTCCCAACCCACCACTATCAGACATATAATATCCATATTGTGTAAAATCGAGAGTTTGATAGCGGGAATATATGGCATTTCGCCAAATATATGTTTTAGCGAAAGCTCTTAACAAGTGTTGGTAAAGTGCGTCAGAGGTACAAGGTATATTGGCTAGATTAAATTAATGTTTTCAGTCACACTGTCTTTTCGTCGAAGAGCAGCATTTTGTATTGTTATGTAAAAATCTACTTTAGATTTTTGCACTAACTTAAAATTGTTGATGTTATTACAAAAAATACAAACTAAATTTTCTTCGGTAAGTTTTCATTTAAGAAGAGGTACGGAAAAAGACATTTTAAATCCATTCACAATTTTTTTAATAACACATTAATATTATAATACCCTTTTAATGGGCATTAAACAATAGTATATTGTTTTTAAACACCGCGCAATTTAAAATTAAGTTTACTAATATTAATATTTACTGCATTGTATTATTTAAATAATAATTTAAAAATATTATTTACAATTGATATAAATAAATATATACTCAATAAATAATAATTATATTGTTCAAATTTGGAAGAAAAAAAAACTATATACGGTTATTACATTGCGATGATTGATTTATTTAATTAGCCCAATGACAATAATTAATACCTACATAAATAAATTATGGAAAAAACTATGTTAATAAACTTTAAGGATTTGTTCGGGTTTTTTTGCGTAAGTGTATATTTTTCAGCCGCGGCGGCTGAAAAAGTCGAGTGTACGCGCATATTTAACAATTAAAAAACAACGGTCTAAATTAAAATAAGCCCCGATTACTCTTTAAAATCTTAAAGTTGAATGTTTAAACTTCAATTTAGACACTTGGTAACCTCAAAAATAATAATTTACATATGTGTTTTCAAGCCTCAAAAATGCGTATTTTCGCGTTTTTCAGACTTTAAATCGCTTATAACTCGAAAACTATCAACTTTAGAGAAAAATGACAAGAGACCTTTTTTGTTTAAAATGACCCAAAAAAAACCTTTTTCAGATTAAAAAAAATATTTTTGGAATTTGTTTAAAAAAAATTGTTTAAACAATTTCTGCCCAAAAATTTGGCCCAGCACCCTTCAGATTTGTTTAAAGGGGACATTTTTAAACCGGAATCCGCGAAGAAACCGAATCAGAAACATTTTCCCAACGGGAGCGGCCTCACAGCCTGGACTAACTTATAATAATCACACTTAAGCAACTCTAATAATACGAAGTAACTTTAAACTTAAAAAAAGTTAATATTTTTCTGAACATTCCACACATATACCCTTTATGTGTTCTAAGCACATAAATTTATTATATGAGTAACAACTGTACTTTGTTTTTCGACTTTTCTTGCTTCCACAGTAAAAACAACGACCATTAGATTTTTCAATATTTTGTACATTCAATGTGATATCAAACATTTCTCTGAGTCGCATACTTATCACCCTTGGCAGGTTTGTTGCAATTGCTCTACGTCTTGCATGTGATTCAAGCAGTTGTATGCCCATTGTCTCTAAAAATGTTCTTCTAAGTAGTATGCGTTGGTCTGTCCGAGCAGAATTATACTTGTATATTGTAAATGAATTTATGCCGGCGATATTCAATATTGCATAAAATATCACCATGGGCCAGCGATTAGTCGATCTCGCACAATTGTAGCTTTCACACATCTTATCAATAGTGTCGACTCCTCCTTTGGTTTCGTTGTAATTAATTATTATGTTAGGCTTACCAGTCTTTGGATCCAACGTATCATCTTCATAATGCATTGTTGACATCAGGAGCACATTTTTGTTCGGTTTTGGAATATACGAAACAATAGTGCATTTACCTTGATATGCAAATATACTTGTAGAAGTAGGCCTATTTATAGGTGCCGTAAATTCCAAAGGCACTTTTGGCTTATTTCTTCGAAGAGTTCCAATTATAGTTAGCTGATGATTGGCCAGTAAGGTGTCAGCAAGCTGCTTACTGGTAAAAAAATTATCAAGAGCAACATTTCTATTTGTACCCCAGATAGGTCTGCACAAACATACTACTAAATCCAAAGTCTTTGTGGTTTGCTGGTATGGTCCCTCTAGTTGCTGAACAACATAAATTTCTACATTTGAGGTATAAGCTAATTTAGCATCAGTCAAGGCATATATTTTTATACCGTACCTATTTGGTTTTTTTGGCATATAAACTTTGAACCCACAGCGGCTCCTAAAGGCTTCTAATTTTTCATCAACTGTACAATAGTGTGACATGGCGTAGTGTTTTGGCAAATTGGTGTTGAAGTCTTCAAAAAAGCTTCTGATAGAGCTAATTTATCAACTTTTTGTCTCTCTGCACGAGTTTGTTTATTATCAAAGCGAATAAATGCCATAGAAATTTGAATCGCTCGTATGACATTGTAAGGCGAAATATTTCTAAGAATGTACCGTTTGTTCTAAACAAATCGCGTGCATTGAGATGGTTATTCTTGAACTTTCCTGCTATGTACAACAGGCCTATAAGTGCTTTTATTTCTAGTATATCCGTCTTTCTGTAGGTTCTATTCAGAGGATCAGCATGTAGTTCAATATTTATATTTGTATTTTTTATAATAAGTTCCAACATCTGGTCTGTTATAAAACAGCCCCAAATATCACTAAAGATTATTTTCTCCCTAGCATCCCCCTTTACACCTGGTAAATGCCTCCTTAAATTGTCTGCTCTCGTACGCACTCGCTTATTACCAACATGCTTTCGCCGTTTAGTTTTTTTATCCTTACAAAAAAAAATAGGAACTCATCGGCAAATATGTTGTGCTTCTGCCTCATCAAAAACATCATTTTCTGCTTCTGATATATCCTGTTCACTATCTGTATCGACATCTTGTATTTCAACTTCATCTTCTTCAGAACTATCTGCAGAATCGTTGCATTCCACTTCATCATTACTATTAACTTCCTCTAGAAGTCTCTGTAAATATTTTTGCTCCTCCTCGTAGTTCATTTCTATTTCTAAAAAGTAAAAAAAAATAATATTTTATTCACTAAAAATACAACGCTAAAAGTTACAATTTTTACCTTTAATACAGCCGCAAAAGCTAACATCCGTCTCTGAGACCGAAATCTTGTGTAACGAACGAACTATGTATCTACGTTCAACAATATTTTAATACTAACAACGGTTAGGTAAAATATGAATCTATTGAATGACCTAGCCTAAATATCGGAATAGATCGTTAATTATCGGTATGAATAGGTTAGGTGAGACTGTGAGACCATGCGTTAGCACTAAAAGGTTAAGAGCGTCTGGATCGCTTTTTCCTTCGATTTTACCCTTGATAATAAGCTGCAACAACTCATACTTATCATTTCTAAGTATGTGCCTCAAATAAGCTGTCTTTCGCTTTTTAATAGTGGTCAAAAGATCTCTGTCTCTTCCCATTCTGTGCAACACAATTTCGTTCGTAACATGATCGGTCCAGGGTATCTTCAAAATTCTTTTAAAAACCCACATCTCGAAAGCTTCCAGTTTTATCATTAAGTCAAAATTAAGTCAACAGTAAAGGCTTCGACACCATAACGAAGAATAGAGTGAATATAACATTTTACCATCCGATATCGGATTTGCAGATTGAGTCTTTGGTTACTCATAAATTTCCTCATCTTCAAAAAGGCTGCTCTTGATTGCTCTATTCTTAAGATAATTTCTGATTTCGGATACAGATCTTCCGTATCTAGACTCCTAAGTATTTCGTTATGTCCACTTGCTCAATATCTTCATTTTTATCTGGAGCCTTGTAATGACTTTTTCCCTCTTACTAATAACCATGGTTTTTGATTTCTTTATGTTTATTGTTAAACCAAACTCCAGTATCACAAATTGTGTGTAGTGACGTCTGCAGGTCTGTCTCACTTTCAGTGATAATGACTGTATCTTTAGCATAAAGGATGTTATTTATATTCTCACCATTTATCTTGATCCCTTCTTTACAATTTTCAAGTGCTTGTGTAAATAACTCTTCGGAATATATATTAAATAGTAATGGTGAAAGTACACAGCTCTGTCTCACTCCTCTACTTATCTGTTGCGCATCCGTGCTACTTCCATCTAATGTCACCACAACCTGTTGGTTCTAATAGAGATTTCTCACTATGTTAATGTCATTTTTGTCGAGTTTTACAAAAATCCGGATATATAAGACCATAATACGACCAGCAGTTGCGTATGGAAGCGAAACATGGACGCTAACAAAAAGAGAAGTAAATGAATTGCTTTTGCCTTTGCATAGACAGCGTGACAAACGAATGGAGTGGCAGATACAATAACGATCTAGAGTCTCTATTCGGAAAAGAAAATCTAGTCAGATATATAAAGGCAAATAGACTCAGATGGGCAGGGCATCAAGATCTAGAGAAAATGGGAGTGCGACAATGGGAATTACTGGCACAGGACCGACAAACATAGAAGGCAATAGTAAACGCGGCAAAGACTCGCGAAGAGTTGTAGAGCCATTGATGATGATGTTAAAATATCAAAGTTGCTATTCACTGTGGGTATAACCAGAAGTGATATACCTGTCAAAATACTTTCTTTAAGCTTGATATAACTTGTAATCCCCATAAACCAATTTTCATAAATATCGTGGAAATACATAGTTTCCGATATATAAATAATGTAAACGCTCGTCCTGAAACACTATATATATATATATATATATATATATATATATATTATATATATATATATACATATAAATATATATATATATATATATATATATATATATATATATGTATATATATAAAACTGTTTTGGATGGGTTGGAGTCAATAAAAGGGGCTATTTGTTGACTATTTTTTACTCGAGCTTTCAATTGTGATTACAATTATTATCAAGAGCTTCTAAAAAATACAAAATATCTTACAAAGTTGAACTAGAAATAAAAATTTTTTTGTTAACTCACCAAATAAAATTAGTTTGTTATATAAAACTGCTGCTTACAAAATAATTACAAAAAATATTAATAAAAAAATGTCCTATTCTAATAAATGTTTTTCTGAAAAATTTTGATAGTTTCTTAACAAAAACAATTGAATTTGTAAACAAAAATTGAATAGCTACAAACCAGCCTAAATGTCATAAATACTAACTTAAAAATTTTTATTTTTGACATATTGTCAAAAATTAAAATTTGGTTTAAAAAATTCTTCTTTGTTTAGTAACAAAAAAGAAGAAGATTTATTCACCATTGATAGATGCCCGAAAAAATGTAACAAATACATGGAAAATTCAAAATGTGATATTTTACTGACTGTATATATAAATTACATAGAAATAATATAATTATAAATTTTGCTTAAATTTTGAATTTCTGACCTTTTGTTTAAATTATTATCACTTTTGCTAATACAAACCATTTCCAAAAAAGTTCTTTTAAATTTATTACTTTCACTACATAAAATTTTAATATTATCAAAATCCATAATATGGTCTTTGTCTATTACATGCTCTGCCAAAGCACAAGATGGTTTCTTAATTCTGCAATCACTCTTGTGAGAAATAATGCGAGTTGAGAGATTTCTTCCAGTCTCACCAATATACTCAGCTTCACACTGAGTACAAAAAATGCTGTATACTACATTTGTTTGATCTAATTTGTCTATAGGATATTTAGTTTTGGAATATAAAGATGAAATGGTTTTGATGTTCTTTGTTGCTATTTTTATATTGTCAATAACCTTTAGTGTTTGTATTAATTTAGGAGTTAATGATGGTATAAAAGGTAGTGAATGATAATATATGTTTTGATTGTTGGATACAGTGTTTTGAGATTTAGCAAAAAATGGTGTTAAGTTATTTATATTTAATAAATTAGAAAAAAGCATCCTATGCAGCATATATGGAGGATAAGAGTTTTCAATTGAAATATTTTTTAACAAATGAAGATCTTCTTGTAGATAGTCTGGATGAGAAAGTTTTAAAACACGTTCATTTACTCCTGTTATAAGGTTCATTTTCATCTTATTTGGATGATTAAAGTAATAGCTTATAAATCTATTACTACATATGGGTTTTTTGAAACATCTGGTTTTCAACATATTGTCTGTATTTCTTACAATTCTCATGTCAAGGAATGGTAGAGAATTATCTACCTCTTCCTCAACTGTAAATTGTATATGTTGATTATGATTGATGAAAATGTTGACTGTTTCAAGAATTTTGTGTTTAGGAAGTGCCAAAACTAGATCATCTACAATGGAATGAAAAAAGTGCAATTATTGATACAATCACTAATAACATCATCCATGACATAGCTACTTAGATACATACATACTTACTTACATACTTTATCAAAAGATATGTAGTTTTGGCACTTCCTAAACACAAAATTCTTGAAACAGTCAACATTTTCAACAATCATAATCAACATATACAATTTACAGTTGAGGAAGAGGTAGATAATTCTCTACCATTCCTTGACATGAGAATTGTAAGAAATACAGACAATATGTTGAAAACCAGATGGTTCAGATAACCCATATGTAGTAATAGATTTATAAGCTATTACTCTAATCATCCAAATAAGATGAAAATGAACCTTATAACAGGAGTAAAGGAACGTGTTTTAAAACTTTCTCATCCAGACTATCTACAAGAAGATCTTCATTTGTTAAAAAATATTTTAATTGAAAACTCTTATCCTCCATATATGCTACATAGGATGTTTTTTTCTAATTTATTAAATATAAATAACTTAACACCATTTTTTGCTAAATCTCAAAACACTGTATCCAACAATCAAAACATATATTATCATTCACTACCTTTTATACCATCATTAACTCCTAAATTAATACAAACACTAAAGGTTATTGACAATATAAAAATAGCAACAAAGAACATCAAAACCATTTCATCTTTATATTCCAAAACTAAATATCCTATAGACAAATTAGATCAAACAAATGTAGTATACAGCATTTTTTGTACTCAGTGTGAAGCTGAGTATATTGGTGAGACTGGAAGAAATCTCTCAAATCGCATTATTTCTCACAAGAGTGATTGCAGAATTAAGAAACCATCTTGTGCTTTGGTAGAGCATGTAATAGACAAAGACCATATTATGGATTTTGATAATATTAAAATTTTATGTAGTGAAAGTAATAAATTTAAAAGAACTTTTTTGGAAATGGTTTGTATTAGCAAAAGTGATAATAATTTAAACAAAAGGTCAGAAATTCAAAATCTAAGAAAAATTTATAATTATATTATTTCTATGTAATTTATATATACAGTCAGTGAAATATCACATTTTGAATTTTCCATGTATTTGTTACATTTTTTCGGGCATCTATCAATGGTAAATAAATCTTCTTCTTTTTTGTTACTATACAAAGAAGAATTTTTTAAACAAAATTTTATTTTTGACAATATGTCAAAAATAAAAATTTTTAAGTTAGTATTTATGACATTTAGGCTGGTTTGTAGCTATTCAATTTTTGTTTACAAATTCAATTGTTTTTGTTAAGAAACTATCAAAATTTTTCAGAGAAACATTTATTAGAATAGGACATTTTTTTATTAATATTTTTTGCAATTATTATGTAAGCAGCAGTTTTATATAACAAACTAATTTTATTTGGTGAGTTAACAAAAAAATTTTTATTTCTAGTTCAACTTTGTAAGATATTTTGTATTTTTTAGAAGCTCTTGATAATAATTGTAATCACAATTGAAAGCTCGAGTAAAAAATAGTCAACAAATAGCCCCTTTTATTGACTCCAACCCATCCAAAACAGTTTTATATTTTTTCCAAACGAGTCACAATTACTTCTTTTTTCTTACTCTTATATATATATATATATATATATATATATTATATATATATATATATATATATATATATATATATATATATTATATATATATAACAAACTTAATATTGTAATTTTTTAGGTTTGGTAACAAATGAAACCTTTACATTAACAATTGAACTGGTTTTAAATGGTAAGTATATTTTGTAATACTCAAGTGTGTCTATAAAATCAAAACTTTAAATAATGAAAATGTTAGATGGATAACTTACGGAATATAGAGACATAGATATAGGCAATGGAATAAAAAAGGGGGATTTACCAAGCCTTATTCTATTTAATATAATCATTGATGAAGTCATAAAGAGCGTCAATAAAGGAAAAGGATACACAGTGGTGAACAACGAAATTAAAATCCTCTGTTGCAATGGATAACGATGGAAAACGATGCAATATTGATAGCTCAAAATAAATATTTCCTTTAAAGACCTGTTTCATCGTTTGGATACAATAGCAAAATAACACAGACAAAAAAAAGGATACTATAAATTAGATTTTACGTATCACCCACAGTTTACACAATACGACACTGGTTTATGCTATGTTCTAATAATTTAAAAAAGACAAAATACCGAAACACATTAAAATGGTACATTATTAGAATAATATCGTTGATCAAATTCTTATCTTGTAATAGTATAAGTCTGTTCAATCATTTCAGGAGTCAATACTTTTGTATTTTCTTTCTGGTTTTTCTGTAAAACTTCTCAAGTAGCTTTATCTCCTATGCTAGGCACTCTGTTGTTTCCAATGAAGTAACAAACAGTTGTAATTGGTATTACAACGTCCCTGGTATCGATTTTCCATCACCTTGATATCCTGGTGGATTCGTTCGCCTTGTTCTTCACTGACATTACTCAGATTTGCATGGAAAAAGTCAAGATGGTTATACAAAAAGTGGATTTTGAGATTCATTAGACATCCCAAATCTTTAAACTTATCTAATAAGTTAGCTACTATAAGATCGTAATTTGGGTCTCCCACAAGCTTCTTTTTCCTTAGTAGTCATCTCGGTTTCAGAGGTGGAGAAATTTTATGAATATCGTGTCAACAAAAACACCTTTTAATTTAGCTTCTGATCATGTGGGGAAACGTTTCACTCAAGTACTTGAAACATTCTTCATCTTAAGGCAGGGCCATGATAAACTATTTCATTGAGCCTAACTTGATGTGTAAGGAGGTTGTTTTTGGATCTACCAAATTTTTGTACAAAATTTCTTCTCGCCATTTGATAAAAAATTTCTTATGAGCCATTGTTTTGTGGACCAGTGTTTGACTCTTGTTATGTTCCATTCACAAACAAAACGCGAAAACTTTGTAATTCTCTTTTGTTGACTAAGTAGTATGCAAACAACTTTTACATCGCGTTGTAATAAATTACATCAGCTCACAATAGGGTGTAGAGGTACATCTTCTTTGTGTATTTTCGGTAAGCCATACAAGCGTGGTGAGACTGCTTCGCTGTTGCAAATACTTGGATTGTCTGGTATGGACGAAGATTTTATAAGTTTATTGATTATCCGTAGGGTGACTGCAGTGGGATTTTTTTAAGTATTTATTTTATATACCGCAGGATCTAGAAGATTTTGTATTTTCAATTGTATTGAATTTGTATATCAATCAATTGTATTGTATTGTATTTTCGTATTGTGAGCTCCATAGGATCTCCGTCTTATATCCTAAAACATCTGGCCGATATTTTACAACCACATCTAGGAAAAACTATGTCTTTGTAAAATACTTCGACCATTTTATCGAGAAGATCGAAGGAATAGCTTTACAGGAATCTGACATTCTTGTTAGCTTTTATGTTGTTTCCTTATTTACAAGAGTTCTTCTAGAAGACGTTCTGAATTTAATTGAAGAACTAGTTTACAAGGATATGGTGGTATTATACCGTATTTGCCTCACTACCACCTAGTTTTTATGGGAAGACCAGATTTATGAACAGATAGATGGAGTAGCAATGGGAAGCCCACTAAGCCCGGTCGTAGCCAACCTTTTCATGGAGCATCTAGAGAAGAGGGTAATGGAGGGCATGGTTTAGATACGTCGATGACACTTTTGTGATTTGGGGTTACGGAGTAAAAAAACTTAACGATTTCCTGTCTTATATAAACACACTACATCCAAGTATTCAATTTACGATAGAAACAGAAAAGTATCAATAACTAGCGTTCCTAGATGTGTTAGTAAATCGAAAGGAAGGTTACTTAGGACATAAAGAGTATCGAAAACCTAAATACATGCACATATATCTAAACAGGAACTCAAATCAACATCCAGGCCAAAAACAAGGTATCATCAAAACTCTGGCGGTGAGGGAGAAGAGGATTTGTGAACTACAGTATCTGCAAAGTGAACTTCTTCATATTAAAAAAGCGCTCACCTCTAATGGTCATACCAGAAGAGAAAAACATAAAGCGATAAACAACGTCTCTAGAAGAAAGGACGAAGAAATATAATATATAGGCAAAGCGTTCTTGCCTTATATATCGGGGTAACGGACATAATTGGGCGAATACTTAACAGAGCCAATATGAAGACTATTTTCAAGCCTACAAAGAAAATCAAGGACTGTTTAAGATCGATGAAGGGCAAACGCGACCCATTAGCAACGGCCGGAGTATACCGAATACCATGTACATGTGGAATGGTATATGTGGGAACCACGAAATGACACACAAATACAAGGATAAACTAACATAATAGCCATTGTCGTTTAGGACAGATCAACAAATCTGCCGTTGCTAAACACGCTTTGGGAAGCGTAGAACATCGTATACTGTTTGAAGAAGCACAGTAGCTGGATAAAACATCACAGTACTTCTTCTTCTTCTTCTTCTTCGTCTAGCCATTCACGTCCACATCTGAACATAAGCCTCTTCAAGTCTTCCTTTCCATTGTTTTTTATTGTACGCTACTTGTAGCCAATTTTCCCCGGCAGTCCTTTTCAGATCATCTGTCCATCTTATAGGAGATCTGCCTCTGGGTCTTTTGTGTTAGTATGGTCTCCAGGTTAAAATTGATCTGTGCCATTTGTTTAGATCGCTCCTAGCTACATATCCAGCGTATTCCCATTTCAGCTTTAATGCTTTTTGCACCACATCGGTGACTTTGGTTTTCTGTCTTATCCATGTGTTTGTTTTCTTGTCCTTGAGTGATATACCTAGCATTGCTCTTTCCATCGCGTGTTGAGTGACTCTAAGTATATTCATATTCTTTTTTGTGATTGTCCATGTTTGTGCCGCATAAGTTAATATCGGAATAACGCATGCATCAAAAACTTTAGATCTAATATGTAATTGAATTTGTTGATTTCTGAGTATATAGTTCAGTTTACCGAATGCTGCCCAAGACAACTTTCTTCTTCTTTTTATTTCTTCAGTCTGAATTTCCCTATTTAGTATTATTTTTTGTCCCAAGTATATATATTCTTCAACTTTTTCTATAACTTTATCGTTTATTATTGTCACGGTGTCTTCAGAGTGCATGACATTTGTGTTGTTTAAATTCATTTTCAGTCCTATTTTAGAAGATTCGGTATGAAGTTCTACAAGCATGGTTTGCATTTCTTGTAGGTCAGTAGCTATCAGGATTATGTCATCTGCAAATCGTAGATTACTGAGGTAGCGGCCATTGATGTTTATTCCCTTATATTTCCAATTTAGGTTTTTAAAAACGTCCTCCAAAACTAAGGTGAACAGTTTGGGTGATAAAGTATCTCCCTGTTTGACTCCCCTGTTTAATGGTACAGGGTTCGTGTGTTCATTTTCATTTAGGTAGTATGTAGCTGTAGCTTGGTTCATAGTTTCTTTTATTAAGTTAATATATCTGCTGTCTATTCTACAATTTTGCATTGCGTTTATTACGGCCGTATGTTCTATGGTATCGAAAGCTTTTTCGTAGTCTACAAATGCAAGGAAAACTGGAAACTTGTATTCGTTACAATTTTCTATTAATATTTTTGTGGTTAACACGTGATCGGAAGTTGAATAGCCTTTTCTAAAACCTGCCTGTTCATATGGTTGGTATTCGACTAATTTCCTTGTTAGTCGAGCAGTTATGACTTTGGTGAGTATTTTAAACAGGTATGACAGTAGGCTGATGGGTCTGTAGTTTTCCAATTTTCGACTATCACTTTTCTTGTGTAATAAGATTACTTTAGAGTTGTTCCAGCTCTTAGGGACTTTGCCCTGATGTAAACAACTGTCCACAAGCTTAGTTACAATTGCAATTAGTTCCTTACCTCCTTCTAATATCATATCTGTGGTAATACTATCTTCTCCTGTAGCTTTATTTCTCTTCATGTTATTTAATGCTGTAGTTACCTCTGAAATTGTTACTTTGGCATTATTTCTCATATTATGCAATTTTAAATATTAATTTATAAAAGAATGGTGGGTAATACAGAATTTTTAATACGATTTTTGACTCAGCACACTAAAACACATAAGATAGAGGTAATTTTGTCAAACCAGTTTTTTCATTGTTGGCCTGTGTACGATTTTAACTCCAGAAAGAAAACCAGAACAATGATAATCAGTAAAAAACCAATAGGATGTAAACGGGAAGTCGATGCAGTTAACATTAGAGGTAATGGAAATAAAGCACCTAGAGATTATACTAATCAGTTATGAAGATGTTGAAATAGAAGCAAAGATCAAGTATCCAAATTTTCAAGCAAATTTGTCTTAACCAGGAAAATTACACTCCAAAACGGTCATATACTGGAGTATATGCAAAATACAGATTTTTAACATTTGTAAAACTACAGAAAAAATTTAGTAATATGCATTTGTAGGTTATATTTAGCTTAAACATGGCAAAATACGGCGGGGAAGTCCTCAACTCCGACACGGCGCATCCCATATGGCAAATAAAGAACGTCCTGTATATTATACAGGATAGGTGCGAGTAAGGTTCGCCAAATAAGCACCCGCGGATCAATTGGGGACATGGTATAGGCAACAGCTATGTAATTACTAACTCCAAGGCTGGGGGAACAACGACTTCTATAGGCTTGAAATCAGATACTTATGGGCGACAATCAGATATTGGTTTAATCGGTTATAATACTGCGGTGTGTAAGGCAAGGTGAAATCAACACACTAAATATTCTCAAGATATTATAACTGTGGCAAGTTAGGGAAAACAAAAAGCCTTATGGCAGACCTTAGATGGTCAAGGGGTGCTAAGAATCCCCACGACAAATGCTAGGAACCACCCGAAAGTGGAAAACAAAAATTACAAGTTAAAAATTGGAACCTGGAATGCAAAATTTCTTTTTATGCCAGGAAAATCCCATAACATCGTGAGAGAAATGAAAAGAATGGGAGTCAACATTCTCTGAGTCAGTGAAGTTAGATGGCCTAAATCTGGACAAAAAAACATCGACAACCATGTAATATACTATGCTGGTAATGACGATCCTCATCATTAAACCGAAGTGGCATTTACAGTTGGCTAGAAAAGCAGTAAATGTATAAAGAACTTTATACCTATATCTGGTAGAGTAGCTATGCTGCAAATTAATACCACTCCTCGTAATATTAACTTTATTCAAGTATATGCTCCTAATGCAGAAAAACCAGAAAGAGAAGTACCAGAATTCTACCAAGAGATCAAATAGCTAATGAAGATCACAAATCAAAATGCTGTAAACATTAATATAGGAGATTTTAATGCCATCGTAGGTGAAGAGCGGACCGAAGACGTAGTGGGAAACTTTGGTTTGGGCTAAAGAAATAATAGAGGAGAATTACTGGTCCAATTTTGCCAAGAAGAAAATATAATGATCGCAAACACCTGGTTTAAACAACCAAAAAGAAGATAATATACATGGAAAGCACCTGGCGATAATCAAAACCGCATAATAAGAAACTGTTGGTGGTAAAATTTCAATTAAACTAATGAAAATCAAATACAGGGAGAAGATAAAACCTAGCCTCGAAAAACTTAAAGATCCAATAGAACAGGAAGACATAGAGAAAACACTCAATGATACACTCAAGTTTAGTGAAGCACCCGCGGAAGGAGAACAAACAATTAAAAGTATTTGGCACACCTTCAAAACAACAATCATAACTATACAAAGAGATCAACTACAACACAACATCAGAAAAACAAAGACTACATGTCTTTGTAATGGAGGCATTATTTGACCTCCAGATATTACTACAAAAATGCCGAGATCAGCGAAAAGCCATGTTTCTCTCTTTTATCGACTACGAAAAAGCGTTTGATCGAGTGAAACACACAGAACTCATAAAAACCCTAACACAACATGGTATGAACCATAACACGGCGTCGATCGACGAAGAAGATGGCAAAATACATAACAAATAGCAAAAATTATCTAATTAACAAAATTTCTGTCGTACAATGTAATAAAACACTTTTTGTAAAACAGAAGAAATAAAGAAATTAAATTGATTATTTAAATTTTAAATATCCATGAAAATTAGCAGTATATAATTTAGACCTAAACTTTTTTAAAACAAAATATCGCATCAAATAATTTTCTATTTTTCAGGCTTCTAAGCTATGGAGCGTTAGAACAGCACTTCAATTCCTTCACAGGACATCGAAGTCCAAAGAAACCCAAGAACAACAACGAGACGATGACAACTTAGTTGCTAAATTATTTTATCAACCTAACTCATACGAAGTACCAGATCCAAGTGATGAATTTATTGATTGCGGCCCATCTCCACCTACAGAGAATCTGCCTTTGATTTGGGATACCTACGAAGTTCCAGAAAATGGAAACGAAGTTAAAATATGCTATCATACCATCGAGCAAAATATTTTGGAGCATATGAGTAACGCTTATGGAAGAATAAGTCTTTTAGATGAAATTAGTTCCAAAAGAGTAGATTCCAAAAATATAGTGGGTGTGTTTTTTGGAGCATCCCACATAGAGTTAAATATAGCCTTTCTTTGGGCAGCGTTTGTAAAAAGATATGATATTCTGGAAAATTTGTTATATCTTGGAGCTGAAATTAATTATTTTGAGCCTGCTCAAGGTCTAAGTGCACTACACTTAGCAGCTTTCAGCAACTGCATTAGCGGTATGCAGTTTTTAATATCCAAAGGCTGCGATATAAATGCTTTATATAAATTTTATACACCCTTACATTGCGCTGCGTTTGGAGATAGTATCGAGGCAACTTTATTTCTTATTAGGCATGGTGTAAAGATTGATCAGTTCACTAATACAATTTATGAGGAGAACGAAAGTGCTTTGCACTGTGCTGTACGAGCTAATTCCATAAATTGTGTAAAAATTCTTATTTGTCATGGTGCAAGTGTTGATTGTAGTGAATTTTCACCAATACATCTAGCTGCCGACTTAGGAAATTATGAATGTATTAAATATTTATTAGATGGTAAAGGAGCTAACGTAAATAGTAAAACCAAAGAACAAGAGCAGACTGCTTTGCATTTAGCAGCAATTAGAGGAAATCCAGAATGTATCGAGGTTTTGCTGTCAAAGGGTGCTAACGCAGATTGTAGAGATTACACAGGCCAAACTCCATTACATTTAGCAGCAAGAGCAAAAGATCACACATCAGTAGAGTTACTAGTTATCACTGGGAGAGCTAACCCCAATATTGAGGATTACGATCAAAGAACTCCCGTTCACGCTGCTATAGGAAAATCTGCTTGGTCTAGTAAAATTATTCAAACGCTGGTAGAAAATGGAGCATATCCAAACGTTGAAGATCAGTATGGTTATACTCCCCTTCATATAGCTGCCTTAAGGGGTTTGGCTGATTGCGTCGAGACGTTAATCAATTATGGAGCAGACGTTACTTTAAAAACAAAATGTGGCCACACGCCTTTAAGTATTATCAAAAAAAAAGTGCCGATTGCTTTTGGGGTTTTTACAAAGAAACTTGATGACGCTGTTACTTTATATAATACCGATTCATTAAGCAACGAACCCGAACTTAGATTAGATTTTAGAGTAATTTTGCAACCCAATCATGAAGGTGAAATGAACTTTCTATATACTTTAGTTGAAGAAGGTTACAAAACAGTTTTACTTCACCCCATTTGTGCAGCTTTGCTTTACGTAAAATGGCAGAAGATAAGAAAGTATTATCTAGCTAGAATATTGTTTTATGCTGTATTTATGTTGGCTTTATCGTTATATGTACTTACAGCTCTATCTCATTACTGTTATAATTATGGTAACAATTTTACAGACATGAAACCAGAGGATGTGATAGAGCTCTGCGAGAAAAACTCTATACTAGGAAGAGTGCTACGAGATAGTCCATTTGTAATGGAAATGCAATGGTTTTTCTTGGTAGGTCTTACATCTCTGGAAATCATTAGGAAACTATATGGGATCTATGGATATACTTCTGTGAGACAATATTTATCTTATCCGGAAAATATTCTGGAGTGGTGGGTAATCTCTAGCGTATTCGTTATTTCTTGTGTTTATACTCGCCGTACATACCTTTGGCAAAATCATATTGGAGCGTTCGCTATACTTTTGGGATGGACAAATATTATGTTGATGATCGGTCAGCTGCCAGTGTTTGGCATTTACATAGCCATGTATACAAGGGTTCAAAGTGAATTTGGTAAACTTCTGTTTGCATATTCTGGTTTACTTATTGGATTTACATTGAGTTTTTGTGTTATATTTCCAGACTCTAATTTTTTTGCCAATCCATTTATTTCTTTAGTAACGATCATAGTGATGTTATCTGGAGAGTTAAATTTAGATATTTTAGTTGACGATAATCCAGACAATCCTCACTACTTATTGGAATTTAGCGCTCAGGTTACGTACATCATATTTGTGATAACTGTAACAATTATCCTGATGAACCTGTTGGCAGGTATAGCTGTAGATGACATTAAAGGTTTGCAAAAGACTGCTACTCTTTCCAAACTTGTTAGACAGACTAAATTAATATCGCATATGGAAAAAGGTTTATTTAATGGCAGCCTTCCTAGGTATATTTTAGAACATTTGCATGTATCGGCTTTGGTATCACCGAAACCTTCCAGGGTAGTTCTAAATATTAAACCTTTAAATCCCAAAGAGACTCGTTTACCGAAAGATATAATTAGAGCAGCATTTAAAGTTGCTAAACGACAAACAGATTATTTTTCGGGTACTCCAGATACGCCCGTTGATGACTACTATTGGTTTAATAATGACATTACAAAAGACCACTGCTGTCTTGATAATAAACCTTTGCTTGGACTGCAAGAGGTCATGAAAAGAAAAACCGTTGAGATAGAACATCTTAAGGCGACTATTCAAGAAATGAAGCAAGCATTAGAAGCAAATCAGGAAACCATGCAGCAATGCATGAGAATTTTTATAAATAATAGAAGAGGAAGTCGCTTTTGAATCTTGTACGGAATAAACGTTGATCAACATGAAATTTTAGAATAAAATTTTTATAAGAAGACAAGCTTTACGGCCTTTACGGCCATTTTACGTAAACGGCCGTTTTGACTACATAAAGTGTATTCCTAAATCGGTTTTGGAAGATATAAGTTATAAACCAGATGTGGCTAAAGTTTTATCCCTTGTGACCATTCATTTAGAAAGAAAAGAAAACAAATAATTATATTTTTTATTGTATCAAGAACAATTAGTTTTAATAAATTAAAAAAACTACAATGTAAAGACAAAATAAACAAAAAATTTCAATAAATAAAGAAATAAATATGTTTTTTGTTTATTTTTTTTTAATACAATGCTTATTAAATCTTTAATATGTTGCTTGTGTAAGTCAATTTCAAATAGATAAAAAATAAGTAAGAATAATAATTTATTTTTTTTTGTGTGTGTTTTGGCTTGGACAATTGTCATTCAGCCAGTCTCAATCAAGATAAGTTTATTAATGTAGTGTGTGTGTGTGTGTTTGTGTGTGTAGAGTAATTGTCTTGATACTTAGCAAAGTCGACGTCATTGTCTTTGCTAAGAGACGCTAATTGAAGGGGTCAGAAGCAAAACCGCCTAAGTAGCAAAATACACATTTTGAGAAGTAAAGCATCAAAGTTTTTGCTCTTTTAAAAATTCTGGATGTTCAAAATTAAACATTTTAAAGTATTAAACAATTCAAAATAAGTATAAAATTTTAAAGATACTTCTGGTGAGAAATTATTTTAGTTTTTTTTACCTCTTTCGACAAAAAAATGCACTTAGGTTGTTTTACCTTTAAGCAAAAAATGGATTTATAATATACAAAAAGAACACCAGAGTTACTCATAATCTGAGAAAACAGTTCCCAGCTGTTCTCCGCGTGTAGAGGTTCTCTCTCACCGGCTCTGGAACTCGTTTCAGCCATGTGTTACCTCTAGCCAAATTTACCTTAATACTGAACATCACAGTTATTTTACAACACAATGTACAATCTTTTATAACTAAATGTAATTTAAAGGGTTTTTACCCTAGTATTTTGGTGGCTCAGGCATTGTGACCTAGCATTTTTCGATTTTAAAACCTGATGATGGACTGTGTGGTCCAAAAACGTTTGTTTTATTGATGTAGCCCTTTTAAGGGTTTTTTAAATAAATATACCCATTTACAAAGACAAACAATATAAGATATTCAGAACGTGAAACATCACTAAAGTCGTTTTGGTGAAAATTTTACTTAGGCGGTTTTACTTCTAACCCCTTCAATTGTATCCGAACGTCTGCGGTCCCTCCGGTGTGTACCGATCACACAAGGATAGAAATTATTTTCATTTATTAATTTTTTTTTTTTTTATAAACGAAAATTTCCACCCAGGTGGAATTCGAACTCACGACCTTTAGATTTAAAGGCAGGCGCTCTTACCACTGAGCCACAGAGGGGGTTAGAGTCAATTTATTCTACCACTAATGTCCGGTACATGGTTTTCAGGTCAATATTATATATGTGTGATTATTAAATATAAAAAATTGATTAAATAAAAAATTAACTAAAGCATTATTTAGTAAAATTCAAATTAAATAAATATTACTTACATGCCGATACCGGGGTTTATTATTAAATGTTTGTGAAAGCATAGTTTCAAAATTCGTTATGGTTGCAAATATTTAACGGATAAAGGGATAGTTCTTGAGAGGAAAATATATTAACAACAAGGCTAGGAATGTAGATGTTATGTATATTGTTAGATAGATAGATCTTTATTTAAATAGAAACCTAATACACATATAACATAAAAAAAGTACACTTTAAATTTTTTGATAAACTATTTAAGCAAAATTTTTAAATTATTGAGACTAGCACATTTTTTTACAGATGTAGGTAACTAATTAAATTTAAGGAAGCTTGTAAAAAAAAGCGAATTTATCATACTTTTATACATAGTTCTAGGTACATATATGTTATCTAAACCTCGTGTATTATAAGAATGAATACTTTTGTTGATAGAAATGAATTCTTGAAAATATTCAGGTGATAAGCCATTTACTATTTAGAAGGCCAAAATCATGGTGAAATAAAACAGTCTATTTTCAACAGAGAACCAATTTAGAGTATTTAACATCGTCCCAATTGGGGTACGGCGATTTGTTTTAAGAATTATTTTTATTCCACGGTTCTGTAATTTTTGTAGCATGTTAAATATGTTAAGGTTAAATAAATGTAAGATTGATGAGCAATAGTCAAAATAAGGTTGAATACTTGTGTTACATACTATTATTTTTGACTCCATTGACAAATTTTGAGATATTCTACTCAAAAAGTAAAGTTTTTTTGATATTTTTTTATGAATGTACTCGAAGTGACTCAAAATTCAGAATATTGTCAAGTTGTAATCCCAAATATTTAACTGTTGTGACAATTTTAATTTTTTCATTATTAATATTTAAATTTATGATTTCAGAATCAAGCAAATTATATTTATGTTTGGTAGTGAAAACCATTGCCTTTGTTTTTTTTTCACATTCAACTTCAGTTTATTTTTCTTTAAATATTTATTAACCATATTTAAAATAGTGTTTATTTTTTGAATAGCTACATGAAAATTCTCATCACTACAACAGATTAGAGTACCATCGGCAAAAAGATTAAGAAATTCACAAATTACAAAAATATCGATATCGATAATGTACAAAATAAATAAAAGGTGGTCTAATACACTACCTTGAGGAATCCCTGTATTACTATCCATTTCAGATGAAAATTGGATTTTAAATCGAACTTTCTGTTTGCGATCTTGTAAATAATTTTCTAATCACGCAATTACTGTACCTCCTATACCATACTGTTTAAGTTTAGACATCATGATTGTCCTGTCAATGGTCTCAAAAGCTCTCCTTAAATCAAGAAATACACCTACGTCCTTATTTTTATCTAAATTACTCTTTATGTGACATAATGTAACTTGTAACGCTGATTCGCAAGAGAATTGTTTTCGAAAACCTGATTGATTATATTATTAATTAAAATTTTTTTTTTTGTTAAGTGTTCTAATAATTGTTCATAAACAGCAATTTCTAATATTTTTTCTATAGGAGGTAAAGTATTGATTGGTCGGAATTCTTCAGCTTTGATAGTGTTGGGTATTTTTTTAATAGGGGTGATAGTACTTATTTTTAATACATTAGGAATTCTACCCTTAGTAAGAGATGTATTCTTCTTCTCTCTTCTTCAGCCTGTTTGCATCCACTCCTGGACAAAGGCCTCCCCATGAGTTCTCCACTCTTCCCTGTTTTGTGCTATTTGGTGCCAGTTTCTCCCCATTTTTGCTTTGATGTCGTCTAGCCATCGTTTTTGTGGTCTTCCTCTACTCCGACTGTGTTCGCGTGGTCTCCAATGTACAATGTTTTTCGTCCATCTGTCGTTGTTTTGCCGTGCCACGTGCCCTACCCAGTTCCATTTCATTTGTGCAATTCTTCCAATTACATCTTCCACCTTCGTCCTGCTTCGTATGTCCTCGTTTCGTATATGTTCTCTCAGTGATACTCCCAACATAGCTCGTTCGATGGCCCTCTGTGTTGTTCTTAATCTGTTGGCTGACAACTCTGTAAGTGTCATGGTCTCCATTCCATAAGTCATAACCGGTAGAATACAACTGTTGAATACCCTTTTCTTTAGATTTATTGGTATCTTTTTGTTCTTCAACACATCACTGAGTCTGCCTACTGCTGCCCAAGTCATTCGGATTCTTCTAGTTATCTCTGCTGTTTGATTCTGTTTGCCTAGTTTGATGGTGTGACCTAGGTATATATACTCTTCGACACTTTCGATCTCACTTCCATCTAAGTCGATTGTGATATTTTGATTTGTCATTACTTTTGTTTTATTTAAATTCATTTTTAAACCGATTTTTTCAGATTCTTGTTTAAGCTCCTTCAGCATGTAGATTAGTTGTATTAATTAAATTTAACATGACGTGCCCAATGGTTTCTTCCTCCAAAAAACTTCCTCTACCATTCTGCAATTTAACGTTTTATGTAGTGAGAATTTATTATCTAAATTGCCAACAATTTTTCGCAAATCCTGCATAGAGAGCTCTTCAATTTTTTCAAAATTTAAATATAGATTACTATTTGCATTACACTATGTTTCAGAATTAGCAATACTTTCAACAATACTTTCAATGCTTTCAACAAAATACTCATTAAAACTGATAGCTATTTCTACGTTGCTTTTTAAACCGTTTTAGGCCAGTAGTAGTTTCAAAGATTATAGTGTTTGGCATTTGTCGATATTGTCATTGATTAAGTTTTCCACATTTGTTTTGAATTGTTTCTAAACCTGTCTATTTTGATAATAAATGTAGAACCGCTCTTTTTTAGCCTTTACACATTGGCTACCTAATTTCTATGTCTCTTAAAAACCTGCCATTTATGTTGTTTTTCAATGACATCAATACATTTTTAAAAATCTTTATTTTTAAAAATGTATTATAAAATCTATTACGTTGTTTAATATGTTTAAACTTCTCATAATCAAATCAAGGTAATTTTGACTAAAACTGGCATGTTACAATTGATATTATGCTATTGATTACATTTTCACAATTTTGCAAAATTTCCTGGTAAATGATATTAACATCAAGAGAATCTAAATTAAAGTGACACATGATAAGATTAGTTTTGTTTTATTTAAGTTTTAATTACATAAATTTCTAAACTTGGATATATTACCATCAGATATATTATAACTATTATTATTAGAGATATTTACTAAAAAACGGATTGATCAGTAATTTATGGACACCATTGTCCAAAGCAGTTTTACTACCAAAGTTTTACTAATTGTCAGTAATACAGGTAGGACCATAAATGTATTGTATTTAACTGTTGATCGACCCCTGTATAACAGTTGTCGCACACATCGATGAACCGGTAACCCCTGCGCCTCCGTGAAGCCCCCATGTGTTTGGTCTACGACGTTGACCTTCGACCGATAACTAGTTTTAGCATTCGAGATTCGACATTCAGCTTGAAATAAAGACTTGTATTCATTTTCAGTGCAATTTTAAATTCAGTTTTTATACTTTATAACGTTTTATCTACTCAATTAAAGTTTTGGAATAATAATTATATGTATAATAATTCATACAGTATTGTATTATCCTATAAGCGGAAAACAATTGTTTAATTTTTTCACCATAGAAATTAATAGCCAACAAGTCAATATTAAAATCACCAACTAATAAACAACGATGGTTTGTAGTAAATGAGGCACCACATATTATTTCTTCCAAATCTTCAATAAATTGAGCATCAGAACTGGATGGTGTATAAACACCCCACCAAATAAACCATGGATTTAACATAAACTTTTATTATGTACTTTGCACCAATAATTATTACGCCATTGAAATGTTTTAAAATTTGCATAATACCGCCAGTGTAACTACTCGTTGACTCACAACGAATATGACAATAATTTTCAAGTTTCACTTCAATATCTTCAATATCTGATGTCCTACTTTCACTCAATAAAATTATTTTGGGGTTATAGCAAGTTATGGATTCTTGGACTTATTCTCTATTTTTTACTATGCTTCGACTTAAAAATCGAAGATAAATTGTTTGCAAATGATGAATTTTTCCATAATTTAGCAGCGCTCTGTATGTAGGTAATGATTACTGTTCCTTATTATCTTACTGAAAATATTTTCTTTTTAATAGAATGAACTGTGTTTTGTTTTAAATACGGTATTATTATTATATTTACTTAAGAGATTTTTGGTTTTAGTACTACTTTGGCCATTAAATATATGAAGGATTTATTTTATTTTTAATTAGTTGCTATTGTACTTTATTACCTTATAATTTATTTTAACTTTATTACCATATATTCAAGAATTATGATGTTTATACAAATTGTAGGTGTTTGTTGTTAATTATTTTAGATAACTGACGTTTTTTAAAACATTTTATATTCCAAATTTTTGGTTCTAAGCTAATGTTTAAGGTCTCTTTTTAAATATGATACACTTGGTAATTTTCTTACGAATCTGGAGATGTAGTTACACTATTCATAAATATAGGAAAACATGTGGTTAAGAGGTTTAACATTTTTTCAAACCTCTTAGTAATAAATATCGTTTTTATATCTTTAAGATATTAATTGTGATTCTTTTTATTATTCTAAGAATCTTGGTGACTACTTCTTCAAATTTTTCCTAACTCTGTACTGTTCTTATTCACCATCATCAACCTTTATGCAACTGTTGGACGTAGGTCTTTCTCTTTCCATCTAACTCTGTCTTGTGCAGTTTGCACCCAGTTATTGCTAACACGCTTCAGGTCGTCAGTCCATTTAGTTGGTAAGCGTGCTCCGCTCCGTAATGCTTTTTGTCTTGGTCTCTACTCGATAATACGTTTTGTCCATTGGTTGTCTGATAATCTGACCATGCGTCCCGCCCAATTCCATTTCAGCGACGCGATTTTTTTGATGGCGTGTGTTGTTTTGTTTTACGGCGTATTTCTTCGTTTGGGATTCAATCTCTCAGGGAGACACCCAACATCTGGCGCTCCATATCCCTTTAAATCACGCGAAATTTATTTTCTACCTTTTGGGTGTGTGTAAATGTTTCCGCTTTATAATAATTTACCAAACGCTGCCCAAGCTAATCCTATACGACGTGGGAGATCATATGTCTGGTCGATAAATATTGTTAAACGAGTCTGACGAGTGAGTCTAGAAATTGACTGTTTGTTTCGCACAGCATTTTCAATACTTCCCCGTATACGTTATCGTTGCCTGGTCTTTTGTTATTTTTAAGACCCTTTATAGCATTCTCCACTTCTGATTTTAGAATAGAAGGGCCAGTATCATCATTGCTCAGTGTACACCCACTAGGACGGTCATCATTAAAGAGTTGTTCCACATAAGTTTGTTCTACTGTTTGATATCCGTCAAATTTCTCCCTTTTTGTGTATTAGTATTGTTTTAGCAGTATTCCATTTTTCGGGTATGTTGCCTTGGAATATACATTTAATAAATAATATTTATAGATATGTGATAGCTTCTTCTCCGCCTTCTTTTAGCATTTCTGCTAAAATTTCGTCGCTTCCAGAAGGTTTATTTCTTTTACTGCTCTTTATTTCGGGCATCATGTCTGAGTTGACATTTGAAATCTGCCTTTTCAAGTTCTGCTTTGAAGAGTTAGGGGGATCATTTCTGGAACGGTACAGATCGGCGTAGAACTTTTCAATTGAGTTTGAAATATCAGATTTACTTTTTTCTAGTTGTCCTTTGATATTTTTAATGGTTATTATGTTTTTATTTCCTAGTTTCGGTTTGGTGCATTTGAGACTTCTGTTTTTTTTCTATGATTTGTACTATACGGTCTTCTTGATGTTATTTAATGTCTTCTTTTATTTGTTTTCTTATTACTCGATTAAGTTCCTTAAATTCTGCAGTGTCTCTTTTGTTTTGTTTTAGAAGATTTTTTATTTGTTTTAGCATGTTGTGTGATTCTACACTTATTTTGGATTTTCGTTTTCTGTTAGCGGTTGCCACTTATGAGCTTGCATTTAATAGTTCTTTTGTTATGACTTCATTGATTTCATTTAAGCTAAGTTAATCTAGATTTAATACTTTCGCGGGATTTATTTTGTTTTTATACTGTTCTGTATTAGATTTTAGTTTATCTGTGTCTATATTCTTAGTTTTTCTAAATTTATTTCTATTTTTATTATGTTTTATCTCTAATTTGGCTCTAACCATTCGGTGATCGCAACTTACTGCCGCCGTATTTATTACTCTTACGTCCTGTATGATATCTGCTTTGCTTTTTTTCTATAATATGATCAAACAAGTGTGTAGTTAAAAATGCATTTTTGCAGTATCGACAAATTGTAAACGGTTACACACGCTCAACAAATTGATGAGATCAACTCTGCAGTACTGCAGCAGACAGGCCAGACGATTTCATTGGATGCACGATCACACACGATCAAAATCCTTGTCAATTCGTCGAACTCGACGAAGTAGAACAACGCCGCTGTATCGTGAGTGGCCGGCTTTAGGCAAGCCCCTCTGCTCTTGCGGTTATCTAAGCAGTCAGATGGATATTTTGAGCGGTATTGCCAATCTCATACCTCTAGATGTTTCTCAAATAAGGTGTTAACCATAAAATATTTACAGGAAAGGAAGGAAATAACTACAAACCATTAAGTATATTTTTGTTATTAGTCTGTTGCAGTAGATTGGTAAATAAAATGAAAAATATAGGTCATTATCCGATTTATTTAAAGATACAAAGAAGATATAACTCTCAAAAAGATCCGCAAATCGGATTATTACACGGCGATTAGCAACATTGACTTTGGGCAGCGCTCTAGACTATGGTGCGTCCTAAAAGGAGACAGATAGTTGAACGATATTTTATACAATGTCTATCACCGGGTATGGATTTATTTGTCCAAGTTTTATATTGTTCCCCTATTTCAAATGCAGTTCAAACAGACATATATTAAATTGTATGATCCGTTTTAAATTCCTTCAATCAGTATATATATATATATATATATATATATATATATATATATATATATATATATATATATATATATATATATATACCCGGTATTTAGGCGACAAAAGCCCTTCCGGTATTGATTTATGGAGGAGTATCACCGAGCCGCAAGCCGTTATCTCTTGCCGTACTGCTCCACCAAATGCCGATCAGACACCAGCATATTGTAGTCTAAGCCGTAGATTCATTTTAAATTTTAAGCGTTGTTAGCCTTTGTGTTTTCTGTACACCGAGCTGGGGATCGAACTCACATCACTCGCAGTGAAGCGAATGAGAAACTGGCCGCCCAGCCCGCTTGGCTATCTGACCGACTATTTTTACCGATTGATTTTATACAATCCCTAAAATCAAGGGATTGCCACATCCGCCATTCACACCGCACGGTAGGTATTCTTCTTCGCCGTGGTTGCCGTTGTGGACTTCATTCGTGACCATGGACAACGGACCCTAAGCAGGTACTAGTTTCCCAGGTCATGAAACACCTTAAATCTGCGGAGGGCAGGGATTGATTCATTTTCCCTGATAGGACTATCCAAAGGAGTTCCTACTTGTGTTGAACTTGTATTGAATCGGAGATTAATGACTAATGGACAACGGACCCTAAGCAGGTACTAGTTTCCCAGGTCATGAAACACCTTAAATCTGCGGAGGGCAGGGATTGATTCATTTTTCCTGATAGGACTATCCAAAGGAGTTCCTACTTGTGTTGAACTTGTATTGAATCGGAGATTAATGACTAAATATACAGGATGATGAATTTAGAAAACCAAAGTTACTAATATTATAAGAGAAACGGCAAATCTGGCAACATTGCAAATATCAAATATGGAATCTCCGTATCCCAAAATAGGTGTACCTCAAATTTTGTACAATTATGACTAGTAATTTACGAGATAATTGGCCGTTTCTAGACTTTTGGACCACTCTGTATATACTAGTTAGAATATTTTTAAGTTAGTATTTAAAAACAGACAACGAATAAAGTAACATTTTGTATATTATAATATTTAACGACAAATATATTTTAGGCACTATTTTTTGACTTCTTCGTTTATTTCACACAAAAGCCTGCATCTGAAACAAAGAAAAAGTATTAATTTCACAGATTACCACAAAGGAGACACAAATATTTTTAGTTCACCAATCTTAAGAACATATGGACTGGATATAAACACCAGCAAAACCAAGCTAATGATCATCAGCAAGCAAAACATAACTGGAGCAAATCTGTATGTGAACCAAATGAGAATTGAACGTGTCTCACAATACAATTACTTGGGAACTATAATCAATGAGTCGTGGGACAATACCCAAGAGATTAAATGTCCCATCGGAAAGGCCAAAAGTGCATTCTTGACTATGAGCTCTGTATTCAAAAGCTATGACCTCACCCTGAAAACAAAAATAAGGCTCCTTAAATGTTACGTGTACTCAGTGCTTCTGTATGGAGTAGAAACGTGGACATTGAAGACAGAAACTCTATCAAAACTTCAGGCGTTTGAATTATGGTTATATAGAAGAATCCTGAAGATAACATGGACAGACAAAGTCACCAATGAAGAAGTACTGCGGAAGGTGAACACAACCGCGGATTTGGGCAACATTGTGAAGAACCGTAAGCTGGAGTACTTGGGACATATAATGAGAAATCAAGACAGATACGAGCTACTCCAATGCATTTTACAGGGTAAAATTGAAGAAAAAAGAGCCCCAGGATGAAGAAGAATATCCTGGCTTGCTAACCTGAGAGCATGGTATAGAAAGACCTCAACACAGCTATTTCGTATAGCAACCAACAAAATAATTATAGAAAAAAAGATCGCCAATGTTCGGAACGGACAGGCACCCTAAGAAGAAGAAGAATCTTAAAAAAAGTCGCATTTGATAATGACTATTTATTACTATCATAATTTGCTACTTACTGTTGGTCACAAATAGGCACAAACTGTTATTGAAACAACAGTAAAGTGTAGGACAATTTGTAAAAAATAGCGAAGTTGTGTTAGAATCAGTACGGCATTGAATCAAACTGGTATACAGATAATAAATGCTCGTGACTACTAACAGAAATAGAAGGAAAAGTAAAAATTAATAGAATAAATTGGGACTCCGTTTAGTAAAGATGTTAGATATGCGGCTTACCGATGAATTAAGGGAATTCACTACAAGACTGGGTAATTTTCTTGTGCGTAAGTGAGAGCGCCCACCAAAGTGGCGTGGCAGTGGCAAGTAGCAAGTAGCACGCGTCTAGCATAATGTAACCAATGAAAACGAATGATTCAGTTTACACCAAAATGACAGTAACGTCATTCATTCTAATCATTCGTTAGGATTGGTTACATTATGCTAGACGCGTGCTACTTGCTACTTGCCACTGCCACGCCACTTTGGTGGGTGCTCTCACTAAATGTCACCTGGAGTGAGTGTAAGCGGGACTCATGACAATTCGCGATTAGACGCTCCATCCATCAGCGTAGGCCATGGCTATTTTCGTTAGGTAACTTATAGTTGAGTGCCCGTTGGGAAACAGTTTAAACCAAACTTTGAGTATCGCTTCATTATGCCACGTCTGACACGGTTTCTCTCTGCGACTTTGTTTTTAGTTCCGGAGTGTTTTTCCTCTAATTTTCTGGAAACATTTCACCCGTCAGACAGGAAAATCGGAAAACAAGTTCCGTTAGACATTATGAAAAGTTGTTTCTGTTACTGTTAATAAGAGTATCCTGAAAAAGTACCTGGTTATCTATAAATTTCGTCACAGTAGTTTTTCTAACCTGTTCGAGTCGTCGTTGAATGACATATTTATCACCAGGTAATTTTATTCTTGTGTTTTTCTTATAATTTTTAAGCCAATTAATTAAATTAATATATTGTCTGACAAAACTTGTATTTTGATTTTTCTGTCTGGCTAGTAAAAAGACTCTAATAAACTTTAGAAACCAAAACAAACGGTGTACTAAAAATTTGACAAAAATATTAGACACAAACTTTTAAACCAAATCAGGAATATGACGGAAACAATAGGGCAGATGTGGATGACAGCGACAAAGCATCTGAACCAATTAGTATGGAAGAATAGAGGGAAGCTATAAGGAAGCTAAAGATAAAAAAGTCCAGCAGAAGTGACAATATTTTACCTGAGTTAATAAAGCAGATTGGACCAAAAATTTGAACTTCCAATTAGAAAGAAGTGGTTACTAAATATCCTTCAAGAAGCATTGGATAACAGGACAATAATTATAAATATAGTGGACAGAATAGAAGAGAAAAAGCAGATTTAAGGAAAGTAAAAGGGACAAAAGTAATATTTCCCTAATAAGAAACATAATCCCTCTCTCTGTCTCTCTCTCTCTCTCTCTCTCTCTCTCTCTCTCTCTCTTCACAGGGGGAGTGTAGTGGTCGACGTGATGTCGTGTATTGTCCGTCTCCAGAGATGTCTGTCTCTGGTCATTTCTTTTAATTCATGCATAGGTCTTTGGCATATTCCTGTAATTTGATCTATCCATCTTGTTGGGGATCTTCCTCGTGATCTTCGGGCTTCTACCTTTCCTTGTATTATGAGTCTTTCCATGTTTTCTGTGTTTGCTCTCATAACATGCCCAAAATATTTTAATTGTTGGAGACGGACTTTACTAGAGAGTCGTTGGCTAACTTTTAGCTCTCTTAAAATTAAATTATTTGTTCTGCGGTCGGTCCAAGGAACTCGTAACATTCGTCTCCAACAGAACATTTCAGTGGCGTCTATCTTTCTTCTCTCCGATTGTCTCAGAGTCTAAGATTCACATCCGTAGGTCAGTATTGGGAATATTAAGCAGTTGATCAACCTCATCTTTATCGCTCTTGAAATTTGACAGTCCTTCCATATTTTGCTCATTTTTGCTGTGGCAACTTTTGCTAGATCACATCTACGTTTAATCTCTTCTTGTAATAACCCTGTGTTTGTGAAAGAAACATAATAAAGAACAAAAATAGAAATAAGAGAAAAATTATATCTGACATTTACATGTTATTAATGACAAAATACATCAATATAATAACAATTACACGGTAAATTAATCTAATCGTTTTACTACTCTCAATTACGGAGATAACACGAGATAAAAACTACCGTACAGTCATCACATAACTCATACCTGTTTTCTACACAATAGAAGTTATCTTAACATTAAAATCGTATAATCTTCATCTTTTGTTAGCTTTGTCTATCACTTGATTTAATTATGTGATAACTAAATAAAATTATAAGCATAAAAGAAAAATTTATGGTCTCTAATAGAAAAAGTCTTAGGTATATTAAACCAAATGACCAAAATGACTGCCATCAATATATAGTATTATATAGTAGAAAAATACGTACGAGCTTATTGTCAATATGTATCTTCTCCAGCTGAGTGGGAAAACATACTAGGAACATGCCAAAAGAAAAATCTATTCATCGTTTACAAGAGGAATCAACAAGATTTTTTAAAAATGTCTGAAATGAGAAACTATTCTGTACAAGTTTGAACTAATCGAAATCGTTGATAAATACAATGGTGAGTTTAATTCATACTCAATTCAAAAAGAGGAAGAACTGGGATCCTACAAGCACATTTTATTCGAAATCTTCAGAAAAAATATGCTACACGGCTTGGTATTGAATCTAGTAAACTTGAACATGTACTTTCGTGTTTGGATTGGATTCCCAACGTTCATCACAAGTTTTACAGATCATTATTTGCAAAGTCCCTGTAATGTTTTTCTTATTTCTATTATTGTTTCTTGTGTTTATTTCTAATAACATTGTTTAGTATATTTGTTTCAATTTTATATCCTATGTGCAATTCAATAAACGTAAAAAATGGTATCTACAGTGTTTTTTATTCAAAGTATCGCTTTATTCATAAATTTAAAATTCGTTTTCGGTGGTGAAGTTAAAATAAGCTAGTTAGAAGATTAACAAGTATACATGTGAAAATACTGCTATGACAAATGGCATTGCAACAGAGTAATAAATCGGTAAACTTTTAAGTTTACTCCTACCTTGTATTATACTGACAATCCAATCCAAATAACTCGTAACTCTTGTATTTACAGCAGGACGATTTGTGGCGCATCCTAATCCATAAGAAATAACTCCAACTGTATACAGTCTCCTACTAACAGGATCTTGCCAGATTACTGGACCTTAAAATTTGACAAATAAATAATTAGCAAATGTTTCATTATCTAAATCGAAATCTTTACATAAGATTTTGTTTAATTTAAAATTAAATAAATTAAAATTGAAATTGGCATACTTGTCAACCGTAACATCATTTTGGCTAGTTTTGAGATAAATATTGTATTTATAAATATGCCGATCGACAAAATTTTTAAAATAATTAAAACCAAATTAGACAAGGACGATACATTGACATCAAGAGCAAAACTAAATATAATGCCTAACATTCAAAATGCAACAACGAGTTAATATAAATAGAGCTTAATAACAAAAACTGTATTTGTTCTAAGTAATAGATATTTTAAAATATTATTTTGCAATTCCTCATATTCGTCTAATACAAAACTTTGGTATTTTAAGAACGATTTCCGAAGTGGAAATGGAAACGTCAAAAATAATATTTTTTAAACTTATTAAAGATTATGGCTTATTCCCAATAAAAATAGTATCTGCATTATAATGCCACAAGAAAATAGCTTTAGAACAATATGAAATAAAAATGTTTCTCAGAATATCAATAAAATGGAAAGAATTTTTGACAAAGGACGAGGTGTTTTCGACTAATGGTCGTAAGGATCTGGTAAGGATATCAAAACGTTTTGACAATTTGTGAATGGGACAGTTGTATGTACTGACGGTAGGTCTTAGGGACATTGGGCTTATGAATTTTTGACAGGCCGTACATTCATGAAATTTGGGGAGATTTTTCTCTGGGTATAAGAGATTTTTTGTGGTCTGGAGGTAGAGTAGACTTATTTATAATGGATTTGGTAGTTTTTTTCTAGATATGTGGTAGGATTGTTTGGGACGCGTTTGTATTCTGTTGAATTGAAAAGTTCGAACATTTTGTGCAATTAATTAGAAGAATTGAGAATGACGGTGGCAATAAGAAGAAGCTAAAAACAAGTTGCTCTAGTAATTTTGGAAATGGATGAAAATTTAGTGTGATGTTTAATTTGAAGAGATTTTGGAATGCCTTGATGGTCACTACACGATTTAAGGAAAGCAAGGTCACAAGCGGTGTTTGCGTGTAAGATGAAAAAGATTTAGTAAGAATGAAAAATTCCCCCCGTAGAGGCGAATGAAATGGGACGGTCAGATAAATAAAAATTACTCGAGAAGAACCGCGTTGAAAATTTAAAACTCGACGATTCAGCAGCCATTTTGAAGCGATTATTAAGAGGAATATGGTTTCGTTTAAGTTCGTGGTCTTAATCTGTCCTCACTCATGACGTACCAGTATCTTATTCTTCAGAAAATCGAAAACCGTCAAAACTGAGATCTCAATCTGCCTACTCCTCAATGTCGAGTGATGACAGGTCTTACGAAATACATATTATATATATATTTATATATATATATATATATATATATATATATATATATATATATATATATATATATATATATTATATATACACAGTTTGAAAGCCGCCATAGCAGCTTGCCACTATAACCAATCTTTCTTCTTCTTCTTGTAGTGCCTATCCGTTTCGGATGTGGGCTACCATCATGGCAATCTGTATTTTGAAAATGACGGCTCTGAAAAGATTTGTGGTTATTGTGTTGAAACACGTTCGTAGATTTTTTAGCCAGGAAATTCTTTGCCTTCCTGGTCCGAGTTTTCCTTCTACTTTTCCTTGAGGAATTAATTGCAGAAACCTATACTTTTCGCTGTTTCTCATGATGTGACCAATATATTCAATTTTAGCTGTTTTTATTGTAATTAGAACTCTTTTCCTTTTTGCATTTTTGATAAAACGTGCTGGTTAGTAACGTAGTCGGTATAGATCTTCAGGATTCGACGATAAAGCCACATTTCGAAAGCCTCACTTTTCTTACAAATGGCGTCTGAGACCACGACTCAACTCCGTACAACAGTATCATCGTCCACCCTTCATTGATTACGTCAACTGCTGGACATAGGCCTCTCTTAAACTTCTCCATTGTTTGCGATGTTGTGCTCTTTGTTGCCAATTTTTCATAACACGCTTGATGTCGACAGCCCAACTTGTAGGTGGTCTTCCTCTACTGCGTTTGTCTACTCTTGGTATCCAATGTGTAATTTTGCTTGTCCATCGTGAGTCATTTTCGCTACATGGCCTGCCCAATTCCATGTTAGTTCCGCTCTGCGTTCCACAACATCACCAATACTCGTCCTTCTTCGCAGATCTTCGTTTCTTATTCGAACATCACTCCCAGCATAGAGCGTTCCATTCGTCTCTGTGACACTCTCAGTTTCGAAGCCGTAGTCTTGTTTCGAGTAATAGTTTCCGCCCCATAGGTCATGACTGGTAATACGCATTGGTCAAATACTTTTCTTTTGAGGCTAGTTATGTTGGCCCTAAGTGTCTCGCAGTTTTCCAAAGGCTGCCGACGCTAAAGTAATTCGTCTTTGGATTTCGCATGTTTAGTTATCCCTGCTGATTCTTATTTAGTGACTCAAATACATATATTTCTCCACCAGTTCTACCATTTGTTTTAAATAGTTAAATGGTTATTGGGGACCATATTTCTCATAAACTTAGTTTTGGACAAGTTCATTCTGAGGTCCACCTTCGAACATGCATTCATAATTCACTTTATTTCGTGGATGCGGTGGATAGCAAAAAACTCAATTTTTGCAACTATGTGCCTACACTCTTACATTAACAATCCATCTTTGGAAACAATCAACCATCAGTTGACTATCAGTTGTTTGAGACTTGAGCATACTGAAATGGACTGTGGATTATTTTATAATTGAAGAAAAAAACTAACTACGTACCAATATATACACCTGAGAGATGTGCACAAATTATAAGATTCTCGATTCTGGTTTCCAAGGAAGAAGGTCTTGCGGGTATTATTTTATTTATCGTAATGGAACTTGACATATTTACATTTAAATTTACATATAATTTGTATAAAACATAATACATATATGTTTACAAACGAACATCTAACTTATTTATATATTCTATCGACTCTGGAGTCGCCATTAGGAAATCCTCTGACCTCCCTTGATAGGATCTTGTTTGGCACTGTTCTGTGATGTGACAGATGGTTTGTGGTTGTCCGCAGTCACAGAGTGGGGATGGTCGTTTACCCCCATTTGTGCATCATATAATTGCATCTGCCATGTTTGGTTCTGATTCGGTTCAACATAGTCCATGTGTTGCGTGGTAAGTCAAAACCTGATGGTTTTTGTGTGATGCAGGGTAAGCTGTTATTTTGTTGTTCCATCCATTCTCGAGTCCAAATGGTCATTAAGTTGAACTCATTTTCCACTGCAATCTGTGCTGTTTTTATTGGCGGTCGCCTGATCGCCAGCATTGGCAGTCGCCAGCATCTATATCTTGATGAATTGGCAGGGTCTCGTTGCTAAATATCTTTTGGTAGTCACTAGTGAGGGAGTGTATACGCCGTAGTCTGGATGGTGGAATGTGGCTCAGGACTGGGAGCCATTGTGTAGGGGTGGATTTGATAACACCAGCAATTATTCTCATTGTGGTATTCAATTGGGCATCTACTTTGTGTGTATGTGGGCTGTTAAGCAAGGCTGAAGAGCAGTATTCCGCGGTTGAGAAAACAAGGCCCAGGGCAGATGATCGCAGGGTGGAAGCCGATGCTCCCCATGTTGGGCCTCACAGCTTCTGGATGATGTTGTTTCTGGATTTAAGGTTTTGCGCTGTTTTTAACACATGTTCCTTGAAAGATAGGGGTCTATCAAGAGTCACCCCTAGGTACTTTGGCGTTTTATTGTAGGCCAGTGTGGTGTTTTCGAATTGGACGTTCAGTGTTCTTCCTGCAAGCTTGTTATTTAGGTGAAAAGTGGAAACCTCTGTTTTGGTAGCGTTTGGTTGGAGCCTCCATTTACAGAAATACTTTCCCACTGTGTGTAAGTCTGTCCTAAGGATTTCTTCTGTTTGTTCAATTGACTTACACCTTGTTGCAAGGACCCAGTCATCGGCGTAACCAAACTTCCTTGATCTGGTTTCTGGTATATCAGCGATGTACAGGCTAAAGAGAAGAGGAGCTAGGACAGATCTCGGAGGTAGTCCATTCTTCAGTTTTCTTGGGGTGCTGATGTCGGTGCTCATGACTTCTTGAATCGTTCGGTCGGCTAGCATGCTGTTGATTATTCGAGCGGTGGATTTACACGAGATTATACGGAGGAGCTTGTATACCATGCCTTCTCTCCAGACTGTATCGTAGGCCGCTGTTAGGTCTATGAATGCGGCTGCAGTTTTAAGTTTTCTCTGGAACCCTGCCTCAATAAATGCGGTAAGTGAAAGGACCTGATCTGAGCAGCTTCTTTTCGGTCGGAAACCTTCTTGATCAACCGGTATCGATTTAAGTAGGTTTGGACTAATTCTGTTATAGATAAGTCGTTCTAGTAGGTTGAACGTTACCGATAGTAGGGCTATTGGTCTGTAGTTCTTAGGGTTGCTATCATTTGGTTTCCCTGGTTTTAATATGGCAATGATCTTCGAGTGTTTGAGTTCCTGTGGTATGGTACCGGTCTTAATAATATCTGTGAAAAAGTGGGCCATCCATTCCCTCGCATATTTGCCGTTGTTCTTGCGGGTATATTACTTTTGTACCGTAAAAAAAGCGTGCGACACATTACCTTAAAACAAGTTTTGATATTTAAGGGAAATGGACGAAACAAGGATGAAGAGGAACTGAAATTTATTGATGTAGATGCTGGCTACATCATTTTATTTCTAATTTAGTGTATGGAATATAAGGATCTGGCCATATTTGGCGGTCCTTGCATTTTATATACTCAACTAACTTCGGCTGCTGCTCTAAATGACGTGGTCCAAACCTTACATAAATTTACCTGTTTTAAAAAGTCTACTAGGATTAATACCTTACCTCCAGAATCGTGCTGACAAGCATCTTTACCTGAGGAGTAAGTGCATATTTGAGCTTGTGTAATCTGATTACCGGGCAACATTTGTTGGCAGTACGTGTTATTCATTACTTTTACATTAACTTTCTGAAGTATTGCAGAAGAAGGACCATTGTAAAATATTTGGCCCCATCCTGAAACACAAACGGCTGTTAATTATACAAATATTAAATAAAACACAATTTACATTTATGTGGGTGTGCAGTGTTTGCTAGTTTGTGATGGAATATAAAAGAGATAAGATAAGTGCGCCAAATATTACCATGCTCCTAATATTGCCTTTCCTCATCAATTTATTAATTTGTCCCTTGAATCACACATGGTCATGTAAGCTCAAATATCGAATTAAAACAACCACTCTAAAATGGTTATAGGTGGAACCAGTTAGTATTGGTGTTCACGGCAAAGCAGCGTATTTTTCTTGCGATTTGTTTATAAAAACGTGGGAAAACTGTAATGATTTTTATAAGCTAGCTAATACCGACCATAGAAGGGTGAGAACGTTATCAGGTAGGTACATTCAAGTACTTTATTAATCCATACTGTGTGTAATTAATATAAAAGAGAATAAAACATAAATCGCCATTTTTGTTCCGCAGTAGTAATGATCCTACTATTGTCTCATGAGATAGTTACTAATATTTCCATGGCAATATTTGGAACCTAACATGAAAATTTACTTTTTATTAATAAAAACTTTCTTTTTAATAGAATGCTGAATAGAAAGACAGTCCTGTGGTCTGAGGCGAACTTCGTTGCAGCGTTAGAAGCAATAAGAGCTGGAAGCAGTATAAGCCAAGTTTCATTACGATATAAAATACCTCGAACAACTCTTGGACTACATTATCGCAACCAAAATTCGGTTAAATGACTTGGAAGGAAAAGTGTTTTAAGTTTGAACAAGAAAGAGATCTAGTTCGCCGAATTCATAAACTAGCAGAGGTGGGCATGCCAATAACTAGTAAAATAGTAAGAAATGTATTTTTGTATGCGATGATAATGAACATTCCTAATCCTTTTTCTGATACATCTAAATTAGCAGGAAGGAAGTGGCTGAAATTATTCTTTTCAAGACATCCCGATGTGGCTAGAAGGAAGGCTCAGCAAATGAATCCAGCAAGAGCACAAAAAATGAATTCATTTATTGTAAGGGATTATTTTAAGAAATTGGAGGAAGTATTCATTAAATTGGAATGGTTTGATAAACCTGGAAACGTGTACAATATGGACGAGAACAGTTGCCGTCTAACGATCCATAAACAGCAAACCGTATTGGCCAAGAAAAGTGCTAAACGTATCCACTTGACAGTGCCTGAAAACGCTGAAAATGTTAGTATTGTGGGTTGTGGAAATGCCCTGGGGCAAGCCATCTTACCGTTCATTCTTTTCAAAGGGAAGAGATTGAAGCCTAAATGGAATGATCATCTACCACCAAGATCAACTGTAATGATGACACAGAAAAGGAGCATAACAAATGAGGCGTTTATTTAATGGCTAGGACATTTTGCAAAGTATAAGAATACAGGACCCACACTCTTAATATTCGATGGTGCAAAATCGCATCTGGACATAAGTATTGACGAAGCTGCAGAAAATAATGGTGTTACTATATTTTGTCTTCCAAGTAACACCACGCATGAACTACAGCCTATGGATAAAGCAGTCTTCAAAAGTTATGAGTCTTTTTAGGATCAGGAGGTTTTAAATTTTTTGATAACTCAACCTGGGAAAAATTTAACCAAAATGCGATTTGGTGAAATATTTAGTAAAGTTTGGTTAAAAGCGATGACACCAGCTAACATCACCTCTGGGTTCAAAGCAACTGGGTTAATATTTTCTTTTGTTCAATGTTCAATCGTATGGTGTTTAGCAATTTCTTGCTTTCCGTAGATTCCATGAAGCTGTCTTTTATTTTAAAGAAGTGGGATTTGCCATTACTGTATGGATTGAAGCCAACATAGTCAATCAGTTCCATAGTATGGACCTAGTCTCTCTACATGAACTAGCTTTACTTCTAGCTGAAAACTGCATGCAGTATATATCGTTTACTTTGAACGTTGTACGGGCCTTTCGAGTTTTGTGTCCTCTCTCTTTTATTGGACGGAGAATATCCGCTGCAAGTCGTTCAAAAGGCTATCCGGAAAGATATTGTGCAATTGTTCTAGTAAAAATCTGCCTCGAACTGTGACAAGTGTTCTTTCAACTCCGTAATATCCTCCCGAAAGGTTGCTATAAAGTTGTTGTAACACACTTTTAATGTGTTATTTTGGCAGTACCACTTGTTGAATTGTACATACTCCATCGGGAGTCTCTCACTTCCGATACAGTAGACCATTGGAAAAATACATAAATTCCGACTGAGTTTAGTACACCTTTATATTTCCACTATATTTGGTTATTCTCTGTCAAGTAGGTCCTACTACATCTTTCTTTTGACTCTTTATAGGGGTTTCCAGGGAAGTCTGATCATTATCTTCTTCCTGTATAACTGTAGTCCTCCGGAGAATTACTTCTTCGGTTACATTTTATTTTTCTTTAAGCTAATACTAACTTTTAGCCTGTTCTCTTAATTTTTCTATTTCATTTTTACTAATTTCTAGTTGCTTCCGAATATGGACAAGTTCAGATTCGAGAGTACCTTTTTCTTTTCTGTGGTAACTTTTTGGAAATAAATTTCTTAAAGATACATATCCACTAGTATTTCTAGTGGGACTATATGACAGGTTTCTAAATATTTATCTGAGTGATCATCTGACATCATTATTTGCAAATGCCCCATTCTATCGCAGATAAAACAGCTGTTTTGATTTTGAAATTTTTGTTAAATATTCTGCAGTATGATTATTTTTCTGGGATAAAATTGGTTGCTGGTTATCTGCGGTTGTCACTTCATTTTCTCGAAATTTTATTTCTTTTAATGTTGGGCTAGATTCATACACCTGGGCTGAGATAAATATGTCATCTAGCGTTTTGTGGTGTTGAAGTTGGAGAGCTTGTTGAATTTCTACATCCTGTAGTCCATTTATAAATGCCTGTATTAGAATTTGTTTTAAAAAATCTTTAGATGCCTGAGAGTACAACAAATGCAATAGTTTTTTAATATTAGTCTCAAATTTTTCCAGGCTTTCATTATGTTTTAATACCGGACTTTTAGCTGACTTTGGAAAAAATGCTTTAGATTCTACTGGCCATATCCTGCTTCAGCAGCTTCGAATTAAAAACGATAAGTTTCCAATGCTATTTGACCATGGAATGTGGGTGGTTATACAATTTTGCTAGTTCTTATTATGCCTGGCTTAGCTATGTAAGATGATGAAGCTGTTTGTTGTTTTTGAAATTAACTTTGATAATATAAAAGGAAAATATCGAGCAATTAATTTATTCTTGCCCAAGTACTTCGATCACTAGATCATCTTCAGGGGCATCTGAAATAAGCCAAGAAACATTTTTTTAACTAAAGAAATTAATTAACTTCGATAAAAACTCGAAGTTTATGGTTGATAAAAGTTTTTATGTGATTAAAGTTTATAGACTTACTTCGTCAATTGCGGCCTATCCGACAAGAGTAGAATATCGTTAATATATAATGGAACATCACAATACACTACACAAAGACAAACAAACATTTTAAAATTTTGAAAATAGGTGAAGCTACATGGTGTATAGAAGCCGGAGACAGAATGGCTCACGTTCTAGTGGAAATGTTGAGATGACATGTGACAAATGACAGTTTGGAAGGGCAGTTACAATCATAGATATGTGATCTGCACCTTTCAAAATTCTATGAAACTAAGTATTGACCAAAGTTCCAACAAAGACCTATAGGAAATCAACTGATGAAATATAAAACTTTTATCAACCATAAACTTTGAGTTTTTATCGAAGTTAATTAATTTCTTTAGTTAAAAAACGTTTCTTGGCTTATTTCAGATTCCCCTGAAGATGATCTAGTGATCGAAAGTACTTGGGCAAGATTAAATTAATATTGTGCTCGATATTTGCCTTTTATATTATCAAAGTTCATTTATTCGAGCATTTAACCTTATATCAAGTTTTTGAAATTGTTTAAAATGTCAAAACGTTTTAAACGCCAGTAGACCAAATGTGTACTGCAATTATTTTTAGCAGAAATCGCTTCCAACACTATTGTAGAGAATCTTTAAAAAATATATATAAAATTGTCTTCTCGTTTACTTTCAATTAGGGCATGTAATTTTGAAAAAACTAACTACGATTTACTACTGTAGCTAATAATCGCAAATAATATAAAGGCCTAATATAAAATCAACTTAGCACGCCCATTTAAACCTCGAAAGCTTGTCGCTTACTTATGCACTGCAACGCGAAGCGCGCCGAACAGAATTTCTTTGCCTAGTATTTTACGGTTGCGATCCATGTCCCTTCTGTTCGCTGTGCAGCGCGTTGCTTCGCACAGATACGCGCGAGTATATTTAACTACATGCAGAAAATTCATAACAACCGTCTTCTCAGCGCTTCGCTTCGAGTTGCAGTGCATAAGTGAGCGACAAGTTTAAGACTGACCGATGGCAACAAGAAATAAAATACGCCACTCATAAACAGTCAAAAACCAGTTACAACCGGTGAAACTCATTGACAAACTGCTAATACTGCGAAAACTGGAAACTATAACAAAATTCATAAATTTTTGGTCTTTCATGAAGGAATTTATTGTATATCGAGATTCACCGGTGAATGTCAACACGATGGTGTGTATGAAAGGTATGCTAGTTACAAAAAACATATATTACTAGATTTCTTACCTAATAACGTAACATCTTGATAGTTAAAAGTGTATCCATCATATACAAATGGTAAACAAACTGGTCCAACATTCAAGGAAAACGTCATTGCTTCATCTGTTTTAATAATAGCTATATCGTTAATTTGGCTGTTAGCATTATACTGGGGATGAGTCCAATATTTTGTTACTAAGTATAGCAAATTAGTGTCAATAGGAGCACCTAGAAGAAAGTAAATTTTTATATTATTCAAATGATGAATCGCTCACAATAAGTTGATTAAACCTTGGACGATCCGTTTTGAACACTAATTTGCTGTTCATCGTCAGCTCTCCAATAAAGTTACTTAACATGACGCCGGGTCAAGGAATGCAGTTACATTTATCTACACACTAAACGATCATTTATGCTATGTTATTGCCTGAAGGTCATCAGCTTTATTTAAACTCGAAAATATAAAATATAAAAATACAACTCCGCCTCCGGTAAGTACTGGGTGGATTGAGTAGCTCAGTAAATGCCGGTGCCGGTCCCAAGCCCGGATAAAGAAGGAGGGTTGAGGCGATGGGCTAGCAACTCATCCCTTGTGAAAAGAAATAAATGCTTAAAATTTAGCTTAGCGGGTCAACACAATTCGGTTTTAAGGGAGGACTAGGAACAAGAGAGGCAATTTTATGTTTGCACCTTTAACACCTTAATACAAAACTGCTTAGATCAACGAAAAGATGTCTACCTCACCTTCATCGACTACGAGAAGGCATTTGACAATGTTAAACATGATATCATGACGGAACTACTACATAGGGCCAACATTGACCAGAAGGAGATTAGAATTATTCAGAATCTATATTGGAACCAAATGGCAAAGGTGAGGATTGATCAAGACCAACATACGGATGAATTTAAAATCCGGAAAGGTGTCCGCCAAGGCTGCATACTCTTTCCGATGCTTTTTAATTTATATGTTGAAAATATATTTGCGGAAGCATTAGAAGATACGGAATTAGGCATTAAGGTGAACGGCATACCAATTAGCAACCTACGCTATGCGGACGACACAGTGATTATAACTGATAATCTGGAAGATCAGCAGTAATTACTTGATAGGGTGAATAGCATAGGTAAAAAATATGGCCTCAAAATCAACATTTTGAAAACGAAATATATGGTCATTAGCAGAAACCCTCCAGAAAACCCGATAATATGCATAGGTGACAATCGTATAAATCGCGTGAAAACTTTTAAATACCTTGGCACCACAATCAATGACCAATCGGATCCACAACACGAGATAAAAACACAAATACAAATGGCAAGCTTTTGTGAAATTCAGACTGATCCTAAGTAATCAACACCTAAACTTCGAAATACGCTACAGAATGGTCAAGTGCTACATATGGTCCATCTTGCTTTATGGCATGGAAACGTGGACTTTGAAAAAAACATCTATCAACAAACTTGAAGCATTTGAAATGTGGTCATTGAGAAGAATGATGCGCATACCTTGGGTGGATAGAGTTCGAAACGATGACGTCCTTAATAGAGCCGGCGTGGAAAGAGAACTCTTTGAATTAATTAAAAAACGCAAGATTGTTTTTATTGGGTACATATTGAGAGGAGCAAAATATGAAATACCACAGTTAATCCTACAAGGGAAGATCGAAGGTAGGAGAGGAGCCGGCCGCAAACCATTATCCTAGTTAAGGAATATTAAAGAATGGACAGGAATACACAATACAGGTGAGCTGTGTCACGCCGCCAAGAACAGAATTCTAGTAATGAGATAGTTGCCTACGCACTTTGGTGTATGGCATGTTAATAAGAAGAAGAAGCGCTAAATGAAGATGCAGATCCAGAAAGTAAAGACGATTTCTACAACAAGATGGATGAAATACTCTCTGAAGTTAAAGAAAACTGCGAAATCTATATACTAAGAGATTTAAACGGCAGAATAGGCAGAGAAGAAAATAATAGAGTCGTAGGAAGATATGGGGAACAAATAACCAATGACAATGAAATGCGTCTTAGAGATTTTTGTGAAGCAATGTCTCTCAAAATTATAAATGGCTTTTTTCAACATAGAGACATTCACAAATTTACATGAATACAACCTACTAGGAATCTGCGCTCGATAATCGACTATGTATAAACTAGTCGTAAATAACAAAATACTAGAACAAGTGATGAAAACTGAATACTTGGGAATAAAACTGTCAAGCTACAGAAAAGTGGAAGAAGAAGTACAAAAACAAGTGAACATGGCAAACAGAGCAGCAGGATGTGTCAACAACACAATCTGGAGAAACAAATACCTCACAACGGAAACGAAAACCTGGATATATAAATCAACAATAAGACCGATAATGACGTATACAGCGGAAACAAGAGCAGATACGGCAAAAACACAAAGACTGCTGGAAACAACAGAAACGAAAGTCTTACGAAAAATAACAAAACAAACAAGAGACAGAGTAAGAAGTGAGAAAATTCGAACGAGATGTGATATAGAGGAAATAAACACGTGGACCAAAAGAAGAAAAGTCAAATGGAATCAACACATCGAAAGAATGACAGAAAATAGAATAGTACGAATAGCAAGAGACAAATCGCCAAATGGAAGAAGATCATTGGGACGACCGACGAAAAGATGGTCAGAGAACGTCAATTCAGGCTAAAAAACCGAAGTAAAACAGACATCAAGCCTATTTATAACAGTGAGAAGAAGAAGAGGATATGTAAAATGTTAGAGAAAATTGTAAATAAAAGGCTGAGATGGTTCCACTATAGATAACCTAATAGACTTAGAGTCAGGAATGCATGAAGCAATTGCAAAAAAGAAGATTGTATCGCAGTCTTTTTTATGTCAATAAAGCTTATGATGCTGTCTGGAGATTCAATATCATAACAAAATTGCATATTTGGAATATCAGAGGCAATATGTTAAAATGTATTTCAAATTTTCTTCAATCTCGCAGCTTTATAATTCGATCAGACAACGTTAACTCAGATAAAAAGTTCAAGAGAACGGAGTACCACAAGGATCAGTTATAAGTTCAACCCTTTTTCTTCTTTTTCTTCTTCGGCTTTTCCATTATGAGTTCGCCGTTTTCGTCCTCCACAGCACTCTATTCTCCCAGTCACTTTCTCTGAGGTCTCTATCTATCATAGCATTTCCGACGTATGTTTTCCATCTTGTAGCAGGTCTTCCTCTCCGTCTTCTTCCCGGCGGGTCCCAGTTTAATATTTTTTTCGGCCACCTATGCTCTGGCATTCTTTGTACATACCAGTACCACTGCAGGGCTCTGTTTTCCAACTTTTTTGTAATTGAGCATTCTACTTCCATTCTGTTCCATATTTCCTCCGTTCTTATTCTATCCGCTCTTGTGATTTGTAGACATCTTCTTATAAAGTTCAGTTCAACTGTTCTTATTTAATTTCGTATTGTTGTTGTCTTTGTCCATACTTTCGCTCCATATAGGGTAATATTCGTCACTATGCTTTGAAAGATCCTCTTTTTGTTTTCTTTGGTTAGAGTGTTGTTCCATATCACTTCATGAAGTGCTCTTGTGGCTTGTTTTCCCCGTGCTATTTTCATTTCTATATCTTTCATACAAGTACCATCTCGGCTAATCATTGACCCTAAATACTTAAAAGTCTTACAACTCTTAATAGTCTCTTCTACTAAATTTAAGTTCAAATCTGCAACCTCGGGTCCAATACATAAGTATTCGGTCCTGCACGTATTTATCTTGAGTCCCCAAAGTTCATAGTCTTCCTTTAATTTCCTTATCATCAGCGGCGCACCCAGGAGGGAGGGAATTGTTGGTTAAACCCCCCCTCTCAGCCCATTATTCCGACACTGTTACTGACAAATTTTAAAGACTTAAAATGGACCAGAACCTCTCCCAGAGGAAAATTCTGGCTGCGCCACTGCTTATCATATATTTCATATCCTCCCCGTCTTCGATTGTTAAAGGAAGATTATACACTGATAACTTAGTTTTACTTGCCAAAGGAAAGAACTCTACATCTGAGTAAAAACATTTACAACAAACAATCAATCAGTTAGGATTATGGTCTAGGACTATTGGATTACAATTTTCACCGACAAAACTAAATGTATTTTATTCACACGAAAACATAACACTCTAACTCCACATTATAATTAAACCCTCAGTTACACAAATAATATCAGATTTTTAGGTATGGTTTTCGACCAAAATTTCTCCTGGAAAAAACATACAGAAGAACTTAAATATCATGCCAAGCAGAATTAAATTTTATGAAAATAATTTCCAGCAAAAACTGGGGAGCAGATCAAAATACACTATTACATGTATATAAATCTTTAATTAGATCCAAACTTGACTATGGTGCGATTGTTTATTTATCAAGAAAAGTATCAATATTAAAAACCTTAAAAACTGTTCAAAACACAGCTCTACGAATAGCTACAGGTGCCTTTCGAACGGCACCAGTTGAAAGTTTACAATGCTTTACAGGAGAACCACCCCTAAGTTTACGATGCAAATACATTTTTTTCTCATATGCTTCTAAAATAGCCAGTAATAAAGAACACTCTACTTATACAAATACGTTCACAGATCAATTTCAAGACACTTTTTCTACAACAAGACTAGATCCACCATTTTACGAAAGAGTTCATGACCTACATCTTGAAATTTCCTGAAATCCTCCTAACAAATTTCCTAACTTCTCCACCTTTTTTAATACCAATCCCCAAGATTAATAATTGCCTTAGTATATATAAAAAAGTAAGACTATAACAGACCTGATCAAACAATCATTCTTAATAGAAATAGAAACTTATAAAAATCACTATAAGATACAGATTGAACGAAATAAATTCGGAACATATGAAATATTATGTATTTCGGCTCAATTCTGCTGTAGGTGGTTGGCCAAAAAAAGGTTGTCAAATAATTATATTATAAAAATCCAATACTTCAGCGGGATGCTGGATTCTGAACTAATTTAAGAACTCATTCATAGGTGGTCAAACTACCTATCGCTTCCTAAAGCCGGCCACTCACGGTACAGCGGTGTCATTCGACATAATCGGACAGAGGCGTTGTTCAATTTGTTGAAGAAAGAGTAAAAAGAAACCTAACATAAAACGTAGATTCTGGTGCAAAGTATCCAAGATTTTGGTGCAAAATAAATCTCGTCTGCCCCTGCACCCGATTTACTGGACTGCACTGCTAATTTTAATTCTCTTTTATAGGATGTTCTACAATTGTTAATTTTTTTTTCTTACATACTCTTCATTCGCATCTTTGTTTACTTCTTGGAACTTTAAAACTAGAATGTCCATTGCCTGTTTTCGGGCGTTTCTATCGTGATACGTTTTACCTTTTATTCGCTTTAAGCATTCTTGTTTTTTAAATAATTTAAAAAACTCTCTTAAAAAATTCTCGCTAAATCAAGCCATTTCGATTTTCTATAATATGATCAAAGCAAGTGTGTAGTTAAAAACGCAGTTGAACAACGCTACTGTGTCGTGAGCCTTTAGGCAAGTCCCTCTTTCGTTTATCGGAGATGAAGATTTTGAGCGGTGTTGCCAATATCATTCCACTAGATCTTTCTAAAATAACTACAAACTTCTGAAATAACTACAAACTATTAAGTTTATTTTTGCTATTAGTCTGTTGTAGTAGATTGTGTAAAACAATGAAAAATATAGGCAAATATTCGATTTATTTAAAGATACGAAGAAGATATAACTCTCAAAAAGATCCGCAAATCAGATTATTACACGGCGATTGGCAACATTGACTTTGAGCTGCGCTGTAGACTATGGTGGGTTCTAAAAAGAGAAGGATAGTTGAACGATATTTTATACAATATCTAACACCGGGTATGGATTTATTTTTGTCCAAGTTTTATATTGTTCCACTATTTCAAATACAGTTCATACAGACATATATTAAATTGTATGATCCGTTTTAAATTCGTTTAATCTGTATACACTGACGCATTCAAATTTTCAAATCTACGGTGTTGATGCAGCCATCCTCACACTCAAAATATCCTTAAAATTTAAATGCAATCCCATTACTTCGTCATACACTGCAGAGTTTTTTGTCATACACGTCACACACTATCAAACGTTTATATACCAATAATCCAATTGTCTCACATATCCAGAAATAGAGATTCTAAATAATAATAAGATCACTGTTGGCTTCATGTTTGTTCCATCACATTCAGGTATACAAGGAAATGAAGAAGCAAATGAATTAGCCCGCTTAGCATCCTTCAGCCAGGATTCATTCTTATTAATGAGGTTTCTTCAGAATGCTTTAAGTCAGAAATAAAATATAAAGTGATAATTGTGTGACAAAATAAGTGGAGTCCATTACAAAATAAACACAAGAAAATTAAACAATTAGTGAAACCGTGGCTCCAACCCATAGCGAATAGATACGACCAAGTGGGAATAACACGTTTGCGACTAGGACATACTAACTTTACACATAAACTCTTTACGCGAACTGTGCCGCCAATGTGTAAAAATTGTTAAGGAACAGTCTCCGTGAATCATATACTAACTCAGTGCAAAACATATTAAGCCGTAGGAAAGAAGCACGCTATCCCAAATAATATAAAGGAAGCATAAATTAAAAAAGAAAGATTACTTCACGTATAAACATATGTTTAGAGAAGTTAGAGAAGTTAGAGAAGTAGCTGGTCTTTATCTTAAGAAAACTCCACATACTATAACCGATTCGTCGGGAAAAATGATAATAGACGAACATGAAATTCGAACAACCTGGTGTAATTATATAAGTGAACTGTATAATGATGATAGACCCGAAGAACCGGTGACTTTAGTTGAAGGTGAAGGACCAGAAATACTAAAATCAGAAATACTGCATGCTATAAAGTTAGCAAAGAACAAGAAAGCCGTTGGCCCTGATAACATACCGACAGAGATGTTGAAGCTTATAAATAAGGAGAACATTGGAATACTGGTCAAACTTTTCAATGATGTTTATTCGACTGGTGATATCCCTGAAGATTGGTTAAAGTCCGAATTCATAACACTACCAAAACAACAACGTCCGAAAAACTGTAGCGATTATAGAATGATAAGCCTTATGAGCCACACTTTGAAAATATTTCTACGCATCATCCACAGTAGAATCAGATATAAATGTGAAGATCAGGATGAAACACAATTTGGCTTCAGAAATGGACTGGGAACTCGGGACGCCCTCTTTGCACTAAATGTATTACTGCAGAAATGTCGAGATCAAAGGAAAGACGTCTTTGCTGTATTTATTGACTATGAAAAGGCCTTTGATCGAGTACAGCATCACAAATTAATTACAATATTAAAAGATAAATGAGTTGATAGTCAAGATGTACGATTCATAGAAAAGTTACACTGGCGTCAAACAGCGACAGCTTGCATAAACGGAAAATCAACAGAAATATGTAAAATACAAAGAGGTGTCAAACAGGGTTGTATACTATCCCCACTGTTATTTAATTTATATTCAGATAGAATATTTAAAGAAGCGCTGCATAATTTGGAATGGGGCGTGAAAGTTAATGGAATTCTGATAAATACAATCAGATATGCAGATGATACAGTTATTTTAAGTGATGACATGGACGGATTACAATGCCTTTTAAATGTCATTGATAAAGTGGGACGATAGTTTGGCCTAAACATAAACTGTTCAAAAACAAAACACATGGTGTTTAGCCGTTTAGCACATCAAGATGCACGATTATATGTTGATGGTCATATAATTCAAAGAGTGTCCAGTTTTAAATATCTTGGTTGCCATATTACTGAACAACTAGATCCAGATCAAGAGATAAAATGTAGAATCGAGATAGCCCGCACGACATTTTTAAAAATGAGGTCATTCTTCTGTAATGATAACTTGCAACTTCAACTTCGAAAGCGCATGGTTAAATGCTACATTTGGTCAGTCCTCTTATACGGTGTAGAAGCATGGACATTAAAAATATCCACAATTAATCGTCTGGTAATATTAAAAGCCGGAATAAAGATCAACGGTCACCCCATTTGCAATATCCGATATGCTGATGATACCGCGCTCATAGCAGAAAATATTGACGACCTACAGAGATTACTAAACAAAGTGGTAGAAGCAAGTGAAGAATTTGGTCTGTCACTGAATACAAAGAAGACCAAGTTCATGATAATTACAAAGAAATGTATCAATAATATCAACTTACATGTAGGACACAATCTCATTGAACGAGTACAAAATTACAATTACCTCGGAACAAATATTAACGAGTCAAACGAATACACCAGAGAAATAAGAATAAGAATAGAGAAAGCCCGCAGTGCATTTAACAATATGAAACAAATGTTGTGTAGCCGTAACCTAAGCCTAAAGCTGAAAATACGAATGCTTAAATGTTATGTTTTCTCGGTCCTGTAATATGGGGTGGAGGCGTGGACACTAAATAAGCAATGTATGGGTAAGCTAAAAGCTTACCCATACATTGCTTATGAAAGGAAAGCTCCTGAAAGGATAAGATAACTAACCAAGTTGTATTAGACAGGATGAACAAACAAAAGGAGGTCGTATTGAGTGTTAAAATGAGGAAACTACAGTACCTGGGACATATTACACATGGGAATAAATATCAACTGTTACAACTAATTATGCAAGGAAAGATTGAAGGTAGGCGCAGCATAGGTAGGAGAAGAATGTCATGGTTGAGAAACCTCAGGAGTGGTTTGCTTGCACTTATATACAATTGTTCCGAGCGGAAGCCTCCAGGGTCAAAATTGCCATGATGATAGCCAACCTTCGTAGCGGAGATGGCACGTGAAGAAGAAGAAGAATCGTCTGGAGGCCTTTGAGATGTGGCTGCACAGACGTATACTAAAATTTCCATGGACGGCTATGCTGACAAATGTGGCAGTCCTTGAAAGAGCAAATGCTGCTCGCGAGCTGCTTGATAACATCAAATGTAGAAAGATGGCCTATTTTGGACACGTAGTAAGGGAAGACCGATATAATATTCTTCAACTTATTATGATGGGTAAAATCGAAGGACGCAGAGGAATTGGTAGAAAGCAGGCCTCTTGGTTAAAGAATATCAGGGAGTGGACAGGAATAAAGAAAGCTGAGCAACTCTTTAGAATAGCTCGAGACAGAGACAGTTTCGCCATGTTAATCGCCAACGTCAAGGGGACTTGATAGGGCACGTTAAGAAGAAGAATAAACATATGACGAATTCCACAGCAAATATCCACTTTTTTAATGACAAAAACATTGATTTTGAAATCTGAGAGCATACTCTTGGGACCAATTCATATTTATGCTTTAGTACTAAAAACTGAAGAAACTTTCATTAAAGAAAATGTTATTGGCATCAAAGAACTGGATATTTTATGTGGTTATTTGTGTTATTCTAAAATGTTGTAACAGTATTATCTCTGTACTGCAATCTCACAGTATTATTTACGTTGATTATTATTACTAAGTTTATTACCTTTAGATACATTCCAAGCTCCTACGAGGATGCCCATGTATTGAATTGGAACTAAAGTCGGACAGTGAGCTGCAGTCAAAACATATCGCTGATTTAAAATAACTGCACCACATGTGACCTCCCAATCGGGCAGAATACTTGCATCTATTAAAGCTGCCATTGAAGGAAATTCGTGTTGACCAGTATCTTGCCCACCAACAATTCTGGTCTAAAAATTACAAACAATAATTTTTTCCGCAAATCGCCAGGAAATTTTGACATTCCTTTCAAAATTTCTTGAAGAAAAAGTCAGGACTTCCGTACTGTAAGGAAATGTCATTTCCTTACTGTAAGGAAATGATATTTCCGTACAGTTGTTAGTGTTCTACATAAATGATAGAAAACACATTGCTTATAAGGAATTAATTTATATTTTGAAAACATCAAGTCATTGCTGAATACATTTTTAAGATCAATTTGTTATATTTACAGTAATTTGACAGTTAGTACAATTATTGAACATTGGAGGAACACTCTTAGAACTATGAGAAACATTTTGGACAACATGCAGGGTGGAAGTGTCATTTTGTTAAATATTTTGTACTGTGAAAATTTTATTTGCCACCTCAACCTTATTGTTAAGCGATTCTTCGATATATCCTTCAGCAACGTTTGATGACTTCCATCCGCCATGCCTCTTTAAACTAGTTATGTCGGCACCAGAGTCAACCAATATTGTTGCAGAAGACCGACGAAAGCAGTGACCAGTATATTCTGTCGGATTTACCAAGTTTAAATAAGTAGCAATTATTTTGGGCATTTTTCTAAATTGATGAATTCCTACCACTTGTCTACAACCCTTTCCGCTTTGATATTTAAAGAAAAATCGGTCACTGTTCATATTTTCTGGTCTTAACGAAACATAGTTTCGATAAACATTCAAGTAGATCTGATTAATTACAAATGATCTTGGTTTGTTGGTTTTTCTAATCAGGTATGCTGATTAAAAGCTTAGATTATAAGTTTTCTATATCGTGTACAGTCATTCGGACTAACTCATCCATTCTACAGGCCCCAGAAATACCAAATATTACAGCCACCTAAAAAATAAATAAAGCTATAATCTAAATAGAAATTAAAACATTGTAAATTACCTTAATCATTAAATTTTCTTTATCTGGAGCTTCCTGGATAAATTTTTCAATTTCTTCCTTCGTTAAAATCTTAGATTTCTTTGCCCTATAACCTTGAGCTTGCCGTTTCAATAAAGAACGAAGTTTTGAGTATGTAGATATATCTACATTGTGTTTAAGTGCAAGGGTTGACTTCAGCATTGAATAATTGGCCCATAACGTTGAAGATTTCATCTTTAAACAAATGTCTAGGAAGTATGCCATTACAACATTTTCTGAGAAAGAACTCGTATTTTTACTCATGCGATAATCCATAAAACGTCTGTATGCATTTTCGTACTTTTCTCTTGATTTCTTTGGCAATAATTCTAATGAAGCAGTATTCACTACCTCAACCAGCTCTGGAGGAGTCCCAGGAATGGAAATTTCATCATCACTTATCATTTTACTTTCGAGAACACCAACAATTAAATTTATAAGCGTCAAGTTTGACAATTCAACCTCAATACGTTTCCATAGTAACCCAAGTAATTTTATTAGGAATTTCAAAGCACCATTTATTTGGGAATAAAATTATCGCGTTTTTTTTAAATCAATCAATATCTGTCAAATTTTAAAACGATTTGCGGAAAAATATTATGCTTACCTCGTAGGAAAAGCCACATTCCTGGACTCTGTGTTGCTAAGTCTCGGCTTGCGCCTCGACTTAGCAATCTTCACAGTCGTCCAGGAATGTTAAGCTTTTCCTACCCGGTAAACAATGTACTATTTCCGCAAATCGCCAGGAAATTTTGACATTCCTGTCAAAATTTCTTGAAGAAAAAGTCAGGACTTCCTTACTGTAAGGAAATGTCATTTCCTTACTGTAAGGAAATGATATTTCCGTACAGTTGTTAGTGTTCTACATAAATGATAGAAAACACATTGCTTATAAGGAATTAATTTATATTTTGAAAACATCAAGTCATTGCTGAATACATTTTTAAGATCAATTTGTTATATTTACAGTAATTTTATCTTTTATATTTTTATATAGATTCCAAAAATTGTCAAGTTTGACAATTCAACCTCAATACGTTTCCATAGTAACCCAAGTAATTTTATTAGGAATTTCAAAGCACCATTTATTTGGGAATAAAATTATCGCGTTTTTTTAAATCAATCAATATCTGTCGAATTTTAACCGATTTTCGGAAAAATAGTATGTTTACCTCGTAGGAAAAGCCACATTCCTGGACTCTGTGTTGCTAAGTCTCGGCTTGCGCCTCGACTTAGCAATCTTCACAGTCGTCCAGGAATGTTAAGCTTTTCTTACCCGGTAAACAATGTACTATTAACGTTAGATAGTTTCATTTATCTGCAAAAAGAATTCAGAAATCGGATTCTTCTTCTTCTTGTAGTGCCTATCCTTTTCGGATGTTGCCGACCATCATGGCAATCTGTACTTTGCACACTGCTGCTCTAAAAAGATGTGTGGCTGTTGTGTTGAACCACGTTCATAGATTTTTCAGCCAGGAAATCTATCATATCTTTCGCTGTTCCTGATGATGTGACCGAGGTATTCGATTTTGGCTGTTTTTATTGTGGTTAACAGCTCTTTTTCTTTTTTCATTCTCAGCAGAACACCCTCATTAGTAACGTGGTCGATATACGATATCTTCAGGATGCGACGATAAAGCCACATTTCCAAAGCCTCAATTTTCTTGCAGGTGGCATTTGTGAGAGTCCATGACTCAACTTCGTACAACAGAATAGGAAAGATGTAACATCGTAGTAACCTGATTTTTTGGGCATTGATAAATCATGACATTTGAATAACTTAGCCATTTTTTGAAATGCAGATCTTGCTTTCTCTATTCTACATTTGATTTCTATGGAATGGCCCCAATTTTCATTGACGTTCGTACCAAGGTAGGTGTATGTTTTTACTCTTTCTATTTGTTGACCGTTTACACTGATTTGTCCAAATTGCTGTTCCTTTTTAGAGATCATCATGCATTTTGTTTTCTTAGTGTTTAGTGAAAGTCCGTATCTCTGACTGAGATCTGTGATTCTGTTCATTAACTCCTGGAGGGTTTTAGAACTGTCAGCGAATACTACCGTGTCGTCCGCGTATCTAATGTTATTGATAGATTCTCCGTTGATTCGAATTCCGGCTTCAACATCACCCACTGCCTCTTGAAAGATTTCCTCAGAGTATATGTTAAACAGCTTTGGTGATAGTATACATCCCTGACGGACGCCACGTTTGATTTTGATATCGATTATCGATTAGAAATCGGATTAGCAAAAAACAATTATAAACCAATTTAGATTAGAATAAAATACAGTATTGACTCTTTTGCAGAATATTGGTATTGGAATACACATGCAATTAACTTTATCATTTAACATTTAATTAGCTATTTATGTTCATGAACTTATAACTTACACTTCTTACATTTCTTAGGTACCAAATGTTGCTTTTCAACATATATTACCTTTTCTACTTAAGTTATGAGTGAAGTACTATATAAACAGTACATTACAAACAACATCGATTAACATTTTACTCTGCAATCATGAAATTAAAAAAAAGCACAACTTCCTATACATATCTGCTGTCAATATTTCAGGTACCAAATCTTGAAAAAACAGATGGGGCATTTTATAAAAATCTTTAGTTCCTCCTCCGCCTAAGTGCCTTCTCTATTGAGATTGGCGATCAATATGGCAAATTTCTCTCTGTTCTGGGCTTGATGGATTAAGTCATTTCCTGTTGTGTGAGTCCAATCTCTGATGTTTCGGAGCCAGGATTTCTTCTTCCTTCCTATACCTCTTTTACCCTCGATTTTGCCTTCTAATATCACCTGGAGCTGCTTAAACTCCTTATGGCGCATTATGTGTCCTAGATATGACGTCTTTCTAATTTTGATTGTATTAACCAGATGAGGTCGTGTGTTTATTATTTTCAGTACCTCTTCATTTGTAGTTTTGCTGGTCCAGCTTATTCTTAGCATTCGGCGGTACATCCACATTTCGAACGAATTCAGTTTCTTGACGTCATACTGTTTTTAATGTCCAGGTCTCACAGCCATATAGTAGTAGAGACCACACATAACACTTTAGTGTTCTTAACCTTATTGTGATTGATAGCTTGGGGTTACAGAGCATTTTACGCATGTTCATGAAGCCAGATCTTGCTATTTCAATACGTCTTCTAATTTCTTTTGAGTGGTCTAGCTGACTGTTTAGCTCTCTGCCCATGTATATGAAGCTTTGGGAGCTCTGAAGGGTGATACCATTGATTTGTATGTTGGGTGTAATTTGTTCATAGGGGTTCTTGTGGAATACCATGATTTTGATTTTGGAAAGATTAATATCCAAACCTAGTCTGTGACTTTCTTGTGATAGTGTGTTCAACAATATTTTTAGTTGGTCTTCTGTTTCTGCTAATACTACGGTGTCATCGGCATATCTTACATTGTTAATGATGATTCCATTGACTCTGGCACCTTCAGGGCGATCTTCAAGGGAAGCTCTGATGATATTTTCGGCATAGACATTAAATAGAAGAGGGGACAGAATGCACCCTTGCACCTTTCTGTGTAATTCTCTATCTTTATGCTTCCTTTGCAGATCTTCTACCTCTTTACATTTTTCTTTCATCCATTGTTCCTTAGCTACATTTATCTTTCTCTCAATTTCCCTGTTAAGCTCTTTGTATCTTGTTAGGTTTTTGTTTTTTTCCATCCGTCTCCTCTCCATAATTTGTAATATTTCGTTTGTCATCCATGATTTTCTTTGTTTACGGTTTTTTTTTCTGTATATTTTGGTTTGCTGCCTCCAGGACAGTATTTTTAATTTTTCCCCACATGTCTTCAATGTTTTCTTTTATTGTCTTCTCTTTAGGGGGAGCTAATGTCTTAGACTCTAACTGCGTGTCTACCATGTCTTTATACATATGTTTTTGTCCCTGGTCAGCACTACTCCATGCTACTCCCTGACTAGGTTTAGTCTTGCCTACTCTTTTAAGTTTTATTCTGACAGTTGTAACTACAGGATTGTGGTCTGAATTTATGTCACAGCTTGGGTACGTTTTTTCATTTAGAATACCATTACGGAACCTTTTATAATTGTAATGTAGTCGATTCGGTTCCTCACAATATTTCCTTCGCAATCTTGAAGAGACCTCCACGTATACAGACGTCTTTTTGGTAATTTAAACCATGTGTTAAGAACCACCAAGTTGTTCTCTTGGCAAAATTCAACAAAGCCTGTGCCTCGTTCATTCCTCGTTTCTAAACCGTATGGGCCGATGATCGATTCGACCTTTTCTGCTCCTACCTTCGCATTCCAATCTCCCATAAATATGTTGATGTCATCTGATTTTATGTGTTTTTTAATCTTTTTAATATCGGAGCAGAAAATCTCAAAATCTGCATCTGTGCTGTCTGCTGTCAGGCCGTATACCTGTATTATATTAATGTCGAATGGTTGTCTATTTAAGTTGATGATCATTACTCTGTCGCTGACTGGTAGAAAACCTTTCGTGTGTTGTTTCATGGATGCTGTTACTAGCACTCCTATATCTGATTGGGCATCATCATCTTTGCCTGCATAATAGAATCGGTTTCCATTTATTGTATCCACATATCCTTCTCCTTTCCATCTCACCTCACACATACCAAGTATGTCCCACTTTATTCGTCTCATTTCGTTTTCAGAGATGAGACTTTCTTTAGTTCACCACCACTGAATTCAGATAGCAGTATAGTTGGTTACTTACCTGTACCCACAATTTTTTTACCAAACTTCAGTTCACCTACATTATTAAGAGTTTTTTCAAATTTCCCAACGTAATTTTAAAATAATTCATACTTCAAACTACAACAGAACCATAAATTCTTCTTCTTCTTCATGTACCGTGTCCTTTCAGAACATTGGTTACCATCATAGCTTTCTTAATTTTATTCAGTACCACCCTAAATAGCATGCTTGTATCAACATCATACCAATTTCGCAAGTTCTTGAACCATGAGGTTCTTCTTCGTCCTGGAACTGGACTGTATTTTGTAGCAACCTATATTTGGGACCTCTCATTACACATCCGAAATACTCCAGCTTTCTCTGCTTGATGCTTTTTATGATGTCAGTAGTCTTGCTGAGACATTCTAGTATTGTGGAGTTTCGAATCTTCTCCGCCCAGGAAACTTTTAAAATTCATCTATAGCACCACATTTCGAAAGACTCAAGGCGATTTAAATCGATTTAATTCACAGTCCAGGACTCGACACCATAAAGTAAAATCGAGAACACGTAGCAGCGAAGTAGGCGGATCCTTAATGCCAATTTTAGGTCTCTGTTACACAACACCTTGGACATCCTTCTAAAAGTAGCTCTAGCGTGCTCTATCCTAGATCTAATTTCGCCGTGACTTTCTGCGTTATAATGTTATCAACTTGCTCAAGTCTGGTATTATTTACATATATAGACGGTCTGATATGCTGTTGTTTACTTATTACGAGTTATTTGGTTTTCCGTTTGTTCAGATCCAGACCTGTCTCCCTACAACTCTCAGTAGTGTTCGCAGATCTTCTTGACTAGCAGCTAGGAGTACTGTATTGTCCGCATATCGCAAATTGTTGATGATTTCGTCGTTCACAAGTATTCTTCTTGTTTTTCAGAAAGTGTTTTTCTGAAAATTCTGTCGTCTGAATAAGCGTTAAAAAGCAGGGGTGACAAGAGGCATCCCTGCCGTACTCTTCTTTTAATATTGAGAGCCCGTGATTCCACACCATCTACTTAAACTGATGTTGTTTGATTCCAATATAAATTTGCAAATTATTCGAACATCTCTGTCGTTCAGGCCAATGTCTTTTAGAGATTCGATCAATATAGAATGCTTAACACTATCAAATGCCTTTTGGAAGCCAATAATACAACAGTATATGTCTACAGATATATCACATCTTTGAGCAAGTACGTTCATTCCAAGCAGTGCCTCTCTCGTTCCAAACCCGTTACGGAAACCAAACTGAGTGTCATCCAGGTATTCCTCGTATTTATTGTATATACGACCATGTATTACCTTCAGACAAATTTTCAAGTGGTTTAACAAACTGATGGTTCTATAATCAGCACAGGTTTTTTATGGTTGCTACCCTATTATTAAGAAAATTTCAACATATTCAATTTTAAATATTGCTGGCTACTATTATATTCAGACAAATACCTCAAGATACATTGACTGCTTTGTTCCGACTTCCATCCTAACATGTCATTTTAATCAGTTGCTATTAACAAGTCCTCGTAGACACTTCGTCTCAGGACTAGCAACCTCCAGTTGAGTTTTACATTGGCATGTTATCTATTCCTATTGCAAGTTAAACATCTTATTTTGTAAAGTTAAATAATGTAACTCACAGTTAATTTCACAACATTTAAAGAGTTTTTAGTCATGTATTTAGTGGCTTAAAACATGTATATCTAGTAAGTATTAACCACATTTTTATATGTATCTTGGTCAAAATTTTAAATTTCACATTTGCTTTAATTTAAGTGGGTATACTTTTAAGATAGCACTGATGATTAAATATTAATTCTGAAAAGGTTCTGTGATGTAGACTGATAAGGTTTTTAATAGAATACCTTTTATAAAAAGATTTTTAAATACATTTTTTGTTTATACTTGTATTTATGGGCGGCTTATCGGTTTCTGGACTTGGTTAGGTTCTTCTTCTTCTTGTGTGGTCTTCTAACGAAGGTTGGCTTGTTAGTCCCATCTTTTTGCTTCCTCTGTTAATGATTTCCAGGAGAGTTTGTAAATCGTCTATATTATCTGCCATGATTGCGGTATCGTCTGCAAATCTTATGTTAATAATGATGCTCCCTCCAATCCTTACACCTTCAGTTCTTTTCCATAGTGCCTCCTGAAATATTAGTTGGGAGTACACATTAAATAATTGTGGTGACAGCACACATCCCTGTCTGACTGCTCTTTGAATTTCCACCTGGTTTTTCTCACTATCTTCCACCCGTACGACCGCTGTTTGATGGTATTACAGATTTTTGATTAAATTAATATCCTTGGGATCTAGGTGTATGTGTTTCCATGCATGTATGAGTTTACCATGTTGGACTCTATCAAAAGCTTTTTGGAAATCTATATAATATATGAATACGTTTTTATTATATTCCCTGCATTTTTGTAATAGTACCGTCATTGTGCACAGTGCCTCTCTTGTTCCCATTCCACATCTAAATCCAAACTGTGTATTGTCTAATTGTTCTTTACATTTTTTATATATACGCTGCTGAATATCTTTGAGTAGTATTTTTAAAGTGTGGCTCATAAGGCTAATTAATCGGTACTTATCGCAAGATTTAGGATTATTTTTCTTGGGTAAGGGTAAAAAGATAGATTTTACCATTCATCCGGGATTTTGACCATCGTGGTATATTTTATTAAATAATTTAGTTTAGACGCTCTATATTTTCATCATTCAGGATTTTTTAATATCTCTACAGGAATTTCATCGGGACCTGGCGCTTTACCACTTTTTGAGATTTTAATTGCCTGTTTAACCTCTGATATCAGAATTTTTAGATTTTTATTAGTTAGTAATGTATCATTTATTTCTTCCCTATTATCTGCGAATAAGTTCTTGATGTATTTCTCCCAAGTTTGTTGTTTTTCTACTGCTGATAATTGGAGATCCTCCTTGGAGTTTCGTATAACTTCTGGTATTCTCTTCCGATTATTTCCTGTAATTTCTTTCAGTTTCTTATGTAGCCCATGTGTGTCGTGTTTCATATTAAGTTCTTCTATTTCTCTACAATGTTCTACCATCCAGTGTTCTTGGTTAGAACAAGGTTAGGTTAGGTTAGGTCAACAAAAATGACAAAACAAATTTTAAACATAATAAAATATCAATGGAATGGAATGGAATACGAATAGTTACCAACTGACTAAGTGATTACTTGATAATTTACTTACCGCTTGCTTCCAACCACAGTCACAACTCGGTGCTTGGGTAGTTGTAGGAGCGGGATTTTGGACGGCTTTTATTGAACAGCTGAAAATCCCTCCAGTTGTGTAATATGTGGAATACATTTCTACACGTCAGAAACAAATTTCTCAATTATGGTATTACCTTAAATTTCTTATTTTAGCAAAATAAATAGTTTTTAAGTATATAAAGTAACCAGTAAATTCACTAAAAATGTTTTAATTGCGACTGGGATCAAATAAGATATTTCTAGATGTGGAGGAAATTAAAATTGTGAATTATTTAAATAAAGCAAACTACTTACCACAGCCAGAGTATTTTTCTTAGAGACCAGTGATATTGTTTGATATCCGCAGTAGTTGATAGCATCAGAAAAATAGGTACCGTCTCCAATAAGAGAGACTCTAAATTGGTCTCCAGCACAGTTACTTGTCTGCAAAAATGTATAAATTTAAAGGCGTTAGTATATTTAATACAAATATATATATATATATATATATATATATATATATATCCCCAAATTTTAAATAAAATTAAAATCAAAAGACCATTAAAAAAATCGAGAACACCCTGTATATAGAAATAGTTTAGTTGTAAAATCATAAACCATTTACCGGGACAACGTGAGTGGTTTCCGAATATGTGAATAAGTGATCTAGAAAGTATTCTCCGATAAAAAGACAATATGGTTTGACAACATGACCAGGTAGTTTTAGTACAAAACTATTTGAAATGTGCGGGTATAATAGATTAGAAAGTAATAAGTAAGGATTATTGGTTAATGGGTTTTCTCCTTAACAAAAGTTAAAAAAGAATTCAAGGTGATTTGCCGGAAAGTACTTTAACGTCAGGTAATTTTTGGAAAAACCTAAAAGGTAATGGACTAAGAAACCGATGATGCGTTTGATGAGAGGGGAGATTTGTTTGGATTGCTTTGAGATGGATAAAGAAGAGGGGGGGGAAAAGCTTGCCGGGAATAAAATGAGGGAAAATAAGGACATTGTGAGTTAAATATCAAAAGAGACCGGTTCCGGTGAAAACATTTTTTTTTTTTTTTTTTGAGAATTTATAAGTAGTGCTTAGTGTTTGTGTGGAAAATTAAGCAGCCATTGTGGTAAGCACAAACGATTTCCAGTAGAAATAGAGGCATTACTGTAAGTACAAACAGATATATTTTCGTTGTGTCTGAGAGGAAGCAGTTTGTTTGACTTGGAGTTTGGAGTTTGTGGTAAAGACATCACGACATTTTCACATACTGTTTGTCTTTTTTCTTTTATTATCAAAAGAAATAGTAGGCGAAACAGCGAGCAGGGAAATTGGTAGGATCCGGGAAGTACATTGCGATCTGGTCAGGGCACAATCCAAGCAGAATCGAGGGAAGATAGTCTGTTTGAAAACCAAAGTTTTGAGTTTTTAAATAAATTTAATAAAGACATTCTATCACGGCCATCTATCAACATTCATGTCAATTGTTTGTAATTTGCAATATTTTTACAGTTAAGGAAAGAAGTCAAGGAACCAATAATTCTTTCTAAAATTTGTATATTAAGGGATATTTGATTTAGAAATATGTGTATTTAATTTTTATTGAGCATTAAGGGATGCGCGGTTTGATTGATGATTGATTATTTTTTTTATTCTATTTATAGTGTATGGTGTAATATTTATCCTCAAGGGAATTTTTAAATTAATTGGATATATTCATTTATAATTGTCTTTTATTTTAATATAATAATATTATATTAAAATAAAGAACAAAGCATAATTTTAACTGGTATCTCCGACCACTCCATGGGCGTGCTCAAGATTAATTGAAAAATTACTTTGAATAATTGTAAAAAATAAATGAATTATTTCAGTGTTATAAAGTGTTATGTGTATGTAAACAAAAGTGACCTCTTTTATCACACACTATATTAGAACTGACTGGCCTACATTAAAAAGGGTTTTAAAAAATTCACATTTTTTTTTAATTTTTAAAAATTACAAAAGAGAAAAAGAGTTTTTAAAACCGTCTAAGGTATGTTAAATAGATGAATAAAAATATTAATATAAAACTTACAGCTACTTGTTACAAATCCAAATCAGATTCAGAAGATGAACTTTCAGAACCAAGATTTAAAATAACTGGCTCGATCATTTTATCAGTAATATTGTCCAGCTTCCACATTTTTTCCTCTTCTTTAATAGTGTGATTTACTGCCTTTTCCAGTTTTCAGGTTTTACATTATTTACGGCCTCCAAAAACAACTGTTTAACATCATGAATTTTAAAAGTGGTATTTTTTCTTGAAACTTCACTGTTTATCTGTGCCCATACCAGTTTAATCGGGTTTAATTCACAATGATATGGTGGGGATCTAAGTACTGTCATTCCACGATTTTTGGCAATTTCATCAATTTCGTATTTTTAAATTTTTCTTTATGAAGGGCACACAATGAATAAAGTTCCTTTCTTATAGATCCGGGATGGTACGTAATATTTTTTGAACTCAGCCAATTCTGCAAGTCTTTTTTTAACCACTTGGTTGTGGGCAGTCCTTCTATAAGTCTCGAGTGATAACTTGCATTATCCATTACTATTACACAGTTCTTAGGAAGAAGATCTATCATTTGTTCGAACCATTCTTGAAAGACATCAGCGTTCATGTCTTCATGGTAGTTGATTCAACACCGGTACGAGTTGATTCACAAGTTAATAAACCACCTTCAACAAAACCGTCTGAACTGCCAATGTGTACTATTATCAGCCTGCGTCCCTTTCCTGATGGTGGGTTTAAACCAGTAGATAAGTTATTTACAAAAGCGTGCCTTTGACTTGTAACAGTTTCATCCTGCCAAAATTTATTTGGTGTATGACCCTCGTTAATCCATGTTTCATCAAGATAAAATATTTTTCTTTTTTGGTTTCTCATTTCCTTTATGGTTCTTAGAAAATGTCTTCTCCATATGACAATATCGCTTCTGTCTAATGAAATTTCTGGGATTCTTTTTCCAGTGGAAGCCTATGTCTTTTAAAAGTTTCCATAACGTACTTCGACTCATTTCTGGGTAATCCTTATCATCTCGAACTGAGACAAGAACTTTGTCCAATGTTGGAAATTCTTGTCGAAAGAAGAATTCATGCACTTTCTGTCGAAGTCCTTCTTTAAAATGATATTCTATTTGAAATTTTGGTTTCCCTTAAGCATTACGTGGCATTTGAAAACTACCACATTTCTCTTCTTTAATAATTCTGTAAATCGTAGATTTCCCAACACCAAGTGTACTGCAAACTAACTCAACGGTCTTATCAACACTTTCACATAAACGTTTGTCTGTAAATGATTTAAAACAATTAAATATTAATGTTTTTTCATTAACTGTTAAAGGACCAATTTTTCGGCGTTTACACGGCACTTCCAAATTTTCCATAACACTAGTATACACAATAAACTGCACTTTGCAACTGCACCTACTACTGCAAAAGTACCTACTTTTAGTTAACTGTTAAGAATTTTGAATACGCCACTTGGACCTTCCTACAAAATGGAAAAACCCACTATCACATTTTCTGTGGAATAAGTTTAGAAGGTAATTATCTAGTCAATTACTGTCGTAGATTCCTGGAATTAAAGAATTAAATGTTTGATTGTTGAAACCCTTAGTTCGTGGAATGCACTCATTTCAGATAAAATAAAACGTTTTATTTTATCTAAAGAATTAAACTTTATTTTGCAAATAGGTAGGTACTTATTAAACTTTTATTGGTTATATATAACCAATAAAATAAACATCTTACATTTCTTGCATATTCATTAGTACCTGTTAACCTCCATCACTCCGACACTGGCAACCTTATTTAGGGATAAGTAACCCTCACAACTATTGTATTCTATTCTGCTCCAACCTTTATACCTGGTGGTCATACTCAATTTAAAATTGTTTTCCTATATACTTCTGTAAACTTGTTGACAAATATCTGTTTTTCATTGAGTCACCCGTATCAACAGTTTAGGGATTTGCATACATAATTTATTGTTTTATTACTCTCTCATACATAAAAATACACTATAGCAGACGATACTTTGAAGTCACGTTTTAATTAAAAAAAAAAAAGAGATAAAAATTATTTTTAGCCCTGAGATATTCTTTGCTTTTGATTTGTTTGATAAACATAAATTTATTACATGTACCCTTGAATATAAACTACGAAGATGGAAAGAATATATGCAAGAATTATTCGAAGATGCAGCACGAAGTACGATTGAAATGAACAATAACTACGGCCCATAAATAACAAACGAAGAAGTAACTATGGTCATTAAGCGGGTTACAGATGGGAAATCACCAGGACCTAATGAGGTGCATGGTGAAATTTTAAAGTTATTATAGGCATACCAAATCACAGTCCTTACGAAGCTATTCAGCAACATCTACGAGACTGGTTACTTACCAAATGACTGGCTACTATCAGTATTCATTCCACTTCCTAAAAAAGCCAACGCTAGAAAATGTGAAGAACATAGATTAGTTTGATGAGCCATGTACTTAAAATAAATACTCCTTACTCCTTACTATCATTCACTCGCTCATATACACCAAATTGGAAGAACACCAGAGTGAAGTTCAATTTGGATTCAGAGCAGGACTTGGAACGAGGGAAGCACTTTTTAGTTTGCAAGTTCTAATACAGAGAGCCAGGGATGTCAACTGCGATGTGTATGTATGTTTCGTTGATTTCGAAAAGGCATTTGATAAAGTCCCACATGGGAAACTAATCGATACACTAAAAACATCAGAACTCGATGGTAAGGATATAAGACTGATCTCAAACTTATATCTCCAACAAGCAACCGTACGATTAGAAAATGAAATGTCCGAGATCTTCACAGTCGAAAAAGGAGTAAGACAGGGTTGCATATCGATGGCAAGGATATAAGACTGATCTCAAACTTATATCTTCAACAAAAAGTAACAGTACGATTAGAAAATGAACTGTTCGAGATCTTCCATCGAAAAAAGAGTTAGACCAGTGGCGGCCGGTCAGGGTCGGCAGTGCCGACCCACATCTTTATAGATATTATAGATTTTTTTTAATATTTAATTTAATCAGTATTTCAATAAATAATTGTGGCAGGTAATCAGTTGATGTCATTTGTTTTTGTGAACTAAAAAAATATCTGTGAGATAATAAAGACTAAATTTGATTCATGGTTTTTAAAAGAATTCGTCCAATCTGAGCGTTAAGTGATCCCTGCGTACACACTTTTCAAATAGATGATTCGATATCGGAGACTCGGAGACATCCATCCGAATATGAATTCTTAAAAAGGCAGGTTTTGTTTTTTCAGCTAGCCGATCCCAACCTTGATTTTACTTGTAAAAATCAACGGAATATTAGTTAATTAGCAACCAAATATACATTTCTTTCCATATGAACTTAATTACCAAG